CTTTGCAGTATACCGTTTATTTTTGATGTTAGAGGAGCGTTGACTCAGTGAGATTACGATTTAAATATAGGCGGGGGCGACTTGCCAAATCATCGAGGAAAACGCTCACACCAGCGTTCTCCGGATGTTTCGACAAATCTTGATTGTTCCGACCGCACTCTCATATCGAAGTCTGGCAAACACCTCTCAGTGACACATATCAAAACGTCGATGTTAATACAGACATCTCAATATATATATTAGTATCTATTACACTTATCATCATTTGTAAAATTAATAGCTTTATAGATATTTTAAGCAACAAAAACGAAAGTCAATAAATTATCTAAGACAGAATCTCACAGAAATATGAATATTATAAGATAAAGTGCATAATAAGCTAAGCAGTAAGGTAAGAAGGGGCGAATTGGTCGAATTCATGGACATGTAGACATTCTACGAGTACCCTAATTGTCGTCACAGTCTGTCCGTTTGTTCGCAATTTGTCAGTTGCGCATGCCACGTTAAAACAAAACTTTTATGTAGCGTCCGAACAGTCCGTGATCTGAATAAAAATTACAGGAGTGAATTTTATATTCTTTAAAGCTGGACTTTTCGGTTTTTAAATTACCTACCCACTGATATTGGCAGTTGAGAATTATGTTTATCCCCAAACTAGCTTTCACCCGCGACTTCGTCAGCGTGGTTTAGTTAATGGTTTTTTCACTATAAAATTCAACAATAAAGCGTTTCTAACGAGTTATAACAGACGAAATCACTTTTCAGTTAATAATATATAATAACTAACATTAAAAAGCTTTCAAATTTGATGTTTTAATTATAAAAAATGGTTTATTTACTAACAAACTTCATTAAATTATTTATTAGTAAATAATAAGCCAGTGTTGTTTTAAATTAACAATAATTATAAAGTTTTGATTTCTTTGAAAACATTATAATAATTCCTGAAACTAATATACTCAAACAACTTGAAAGAATTGTCTGTTTAAAAGTTTCCAAAGTTATGAGTAAGTACCTATATTATAAAAATAATCTTCTCTTACATACTGCGACACTTATTATATTTTATTTACAAAATTAAATATCCAAATTATTCTTCAGTATAAGTCCAGGAAATTGGAGGTTCTCAACTTTGAAATGAATGAATCAATGCCGACGAAAACGTCTAAAATTTCGATAACATTATTCTTAAGAACTACAAGGGTGGTTTACAATTATTGAATAAACATAATTTAAATCCTAGCTCGAATTCAAGTTTAAATTCAGCAATATTTCAAATACCATCTTGATATTCTTAAAGTCAGTATTCCTGTCTTAAATGAACTGATATTGTGAAGTGGAATAACGGTTGACAGTGGAGTAACCATCTGGGTTACTACACGTTAACAAATGTATAAAGTAAAGAATAATAAAATTTTGCATTAAAAGTGATTCCTTGGTAGTCAAATATAAAAGACAACCCGCGTAACAGCGGTAGATTTTTTATTCACGCTTTTTGTCTTCGGTAGTAAGCGAATCTTTAAATAGAGCTCTCCAACTGTTCTGTCCTGAAAAGGACAGGCTGTAGTGTGGTTAGCCTGCCTAGTAAAACTCGCTATGGAATACGCTAGTTATGGGTAAGGATCCAGGGTCCAGCAAAGAGCCCACCGCATCCAACTACTTCATGCCCTAAACAATCCTAATGCATTAGGATTTAGGCCCATCCTCTACAAGTTTTACAAACATCCTTATCTTTGTGCTACCAATAGTTGTGCTGTATGTTTCTGGTGTCTCTCAAGATGCGATGGCCTAAGCAATTCCTTTTTTCAACAATTTGGGTAAACAAACAGTGACAAAATACTGTATATATAACGATATATCACAAAACAAATCAATAATTTTGCCACTAACAACATTTACCATGTTATTATACATTTGCTACAATTAAGCAATTGCTTATTTTACCTATAAGCTAATCCGGCAATGTTTGTCGGTCATTATGTGCTAGATACTCCAAAGTTTCTCATCTAATAGCATCACATCGGGTCACAATGGTACTGTAATCAAATTAAGGGTCGAAATTAATTAAACATCACCAAAATCTAACGCCACTTAAGCAACTTAATGACTGAGTTGGGAACGTATAATAAGTGCTGTCTGCACTTAGAAATACATTGGTAATTTAGCAATTAAGTTATTATTTTTTTGGAAATAATTTCCTGTAGATTCATTTACTGAATAAAAGTATGACCTATAGAAAACACATATATTTAAACTGTTTTCCATTGAAATAGCGTTATTCCCAACATAGGTCAAGCCAGATATTTATTCTTTTTTGACGAATTCCATGATTATTTCTCAATGAAGTCTCTATACGTATCTTTAGATTAAGAATTTAGCTACCGACAATCGTTAGCTGCTAGTAGAAACCTAAGAGCGAACGGTTGTCGGCATTATAGATACGATAAGTAGCTACAACCGTCAAAAATATTTAAACCGGGGGTTAGAAGTTTCCTTCACGGTTCTTAAAGATTATTAACCAGGGGTATTTGATATTAATTTCAGCGTAATCAAACTTTCCTTTTAAAAACAGTCTCTACAGGCAACCAGACCAAGAAACGCACAACGAATTAATCTTGGTGATTCAAATTTTCTTATTAGCAGCAGTAGTTTAGTAAAATATAATAAATAATTTAACAATTGTAGCACCTACAGATTCATATCAAATACCATTTTGCTTTTGCTAAATACATAAATCTGTGATTTACAGAGGCCACCTTTTGATTAAAAAAACACCTGGCTCTGTTTACTTTCAATGTTCATTAAGATAAAAATGAATATCTTGAAGAATATTGGGTTAGTGGCAGAAAAAAGTCTAGACTTCGATATATCAACAAATATACAATTTATTAAATGTGCTTTAATTTGATTGTTACGTGTAGTGTGTGCCTATTTAAATCAATAAACACTCGTAAAATAAAATAAATATTGACCTGCAAACCGCAAGTCAAAGTAAAATTGTGTATTAATCACCAATCAAAATGACTAAAATGATCCAAGCCTTATTTACTTATAAACCTAACTACCTTATTCATTAGCTTTAATTAAATTATTTCTCACTATAAGTATTATCTATATAGCCCGAGAATATCTTTAGTTATTATCTATATAGCCCGAGAAAAAATAGCCGTCTGAACTTCATTATGTTATGATCTCTATGATAGAGCTTTTCATGTCATAACGCAGTACAACGAATAGCATAAACTTCATTTCGCAAAAGTTGTTTGACACACACTCACATACTAAACTTAAATTAAAAAGTCATAATTTTGTAAGACGAGATCATTTATGGGTATAAATTTGTAAATAGAATAATTAAAAAATAGAACCATCATTACAGAATTGCCTTATGTCATACATTATATTTTTAAAAGAAACGATGTTGGTAGTTGCAAATGGTTACGTTATTTTATTTTGGTATTTGCTTTACTAATCGAATTATATGAAATTAAATTTCGCCAAAAGATATTCTGCCATCTAAATGCAATCGATAACTATTCTTCAAAAAAGATTATTTCAAGTCTTTTATGACCAATAAATTTCGTAGCAAACTTCATTACCAAACCATAATGTAATTGGTAATGAAGTAGGCCGCCTTTTGGTACTGTCAGATAAAATATCAAAAGGAGAACCGATGGAGATTCTTACAGATAAAGGTTTTATACGTAGGATATTACAATTTGAATGAATCAATAATTTTCATGACAAACATCTTAAAGTTATGACGAACAAAACAAATCAATAATTAAATTTGGTATCCATATCTATCACTATAATCGTGAGATAGTTCTAAATCCTATAGAGAAAGACAATTTTCCTGTTGGCAATAACTCATATTTGTTCCTCTCCCTAGAACCTTCATTTTAACTTTTACCAACATTTAAATATTTCAAATTGGTCGAACCGTTCTCAAGTCATATGCTACCGCATAATATAAACATCATTATTTTAATGAGATATCAACAGCATTTAATTTCAATAAATATGAATAAGCACTCTGTAACGGGTATAGGTATAATGTTATTTTTTATATTAAGTTTACATATTCTATTATTAAATAAACAATTTTTCTGTGACAACATAACTATTTATTTTAAAATGAAAACATTTTGTCAAGTCCTCGAGTAATTCTTTTGTCTATCCTATAATCTTACCAACTTATTTCACAACTGCACAAAAATAAAATCTTGTATAAAGAAAATATACGGTGATCAATCCGATTCGAAGGAGGTGACCGAAACGAATCTTCTTTACCTACCTTGTAAATGAATTACAGGTGACATTAGAATTCTGAAACTAGCGTGCAATTGGTGTGCAAGGTTTCATGTTTTCATAGGCAATAATTCTAAAATTAGTTTCTTCCGTCTCCTTCGGCGCGCTCGATCAACATTAATGTGTTTTTGGCGTATTAATTAAACAACACATTTTTTTCATTTATTGAAAACTTTGTTTACCTGCTCTATGCAAATTCCCAAAAGACGAAAAAAATTTTTAATTTTTTGTGATCTCTACAATCTAAACAGAAATCTTCAATATATGCATTCTGAGCCAATTTTGATACGATAATGGGTGAATCTATTTTTTTTCCATTAACTGATACGTTATCGTAATCTACAAAAATTAAGCTTATTTGAAAATTAACAGACAAAAATGCGATGAAAAGTTTTAAATATATACCGAAGATTGAATGACATGTAGAGCTTAAAATATAGTGGCAATATACCGTTATATAGAATCTTCAAAATAAACATAATATAAATTCCTACCATACTCTTAGAGCATATAGATAATTTAAAATTCTTTGTGTTTTTCGGACTTTAAAAAAGGATTTATTTTATTAAGAAAAGTTTTGTACATTTACTTCTCAATTTCATCTACAATTTTGAACTGCTCTATTAACTTAGAGTATTGTTTCTCTAAATCCTAACTAAATATATTATTCCTCTTTACAAAATGCTTACCTTTTCCGCCTTCGGTTCGGTTTCGGTTTTCTTACGAAATCAAAATCTTCAAAAAAATAAACTAATCACAAATAATAAAAACAAAAGATCATCACAACATAAAAATCACATACTCCGCGCTCAGAAATAAAATGCAATAAAATGGAAACATATCACCGTAAATAAGTTTTTCCGTGGAAGCTATCAGATATAGAAGATGACGCGACGCTAGTCCCTACGTGCGGATGTAGCACTCGCGACGGTACGCGAACGACTGCCCTGTGACGCCGGAGGACTGCACACGTAGATAAATTACATCCAAGTTCAACCGTATAGATATATTTAAAAATAGGTAGTGCTGAAAAACTGCAAGTTGTCATTCCATTAGCGATAGAATAAATGTCAATATCAATAAATATCGAATATTTGTCAACATAGATTGCGAAGAAAGTGAAACAAAATCATTATATTTTACTGAAAATAAATTTGTAGGCTCTGCGTCTATTTGCCTTTTTCTGTAAAAAAGTATAAAATGAACTACATACATTATTTTATACTTTAACAGGTTCTATGACATGCTACAACTACAGTAAAAACCCGTTTAAGACGATTTCACAGGGGCTCACCTCAAAAAGCGTGTTAAGCGTATTATGCGGGATTGCAAACATGGGATCTATCTGGCATCAATTTAAAAATTAAACCGATTCGTCTGTGTTAAAAATATCTCTCTCTCCAACAATTCGGAAAGTGTTGCCACCCATGTTTCAACATCTTGCTGTGCCACTGTCTCCGTTTTCCCACCGATATTCCCAGCTATTTGAAACATTTAAATACGATTTACAGGTTTTCATCAATTTTACGCGCTATCTCGCATATTATGGAACGTTTTAAAACTCGTGCTTGATGAAGTAATTCCACCAATTTTTTTTTCTAATTTATCAAACTTTCCTACATTTTTTCCCGATCTATATTTTTCCTTGATTTCTTCTTTATTATTTAAAATGATACGTAATGTAGATACTGGTAACTGAGCAACAGAGTTTGATTTTTAGTTTGTGATTTTTTATCAAAACCTTTAAATATCTTATTTTTTTCTTGAAGTGACAATTCCCTTTCCCTTAATTGTAGTAATATATTATTGGTCTCGTATTAAACGGGATGACGAATCGTATTAAACGTTAAGAAATGTATGAAAACATGTCTCAAGTTGCAGGGACTGGAGCAATATGGCGGATTATGCAAATATTAAACAGGTTCTACTGTACTTCATTTTATGTACATCTTCTTTCATATTTTACTAGCTTCCCGCCACGATTTCGATCCTATACATATTATGCATATAAACCTTTCTTTTGAATCTTGAATCTGTGTATATTCTTAATAAAAATGCTTAAAAATCCACTTGGTGCCTGGCAATCTGATATGGTATTCGAACCTATGACCTTTCGCAATTCGGGCGACTAATCTCACCATTAAGCTACCCATTACCTAACAGTGCTGACGAATCTTTTAAGCACTTGTTACTTTTTCGCTTCTACAGAGCGTATTATCATTAATGTTCAGGCAATACACCCAAACAGCCGAAAAAAATAATTTTACAAATATTTAAACTTTCTATAAAGATGATTTTTTTTTCTAATTATTATATTATTATGTTTGATCAATTTCGAATCCCATCTCAGGTTGCCGGGGACTAAGTGGATTTGTAAGTATATTTCATTAAGAATATTTTTCAGTATAGCATTGCGAATGCGAAATTGTATATAAATGGAAATCGCATTGAAATCCTTTGTTTACTTTAAAGGATCTCAGCGCATTTTATACCTACTAGGTATCCATAGAAGCAGAGCAATGCAACTATTCGTGTTTTTATTATCTACAAATAAATATAATACAGTGTTTTCTATTCAGTTATTTATGTTATATGCTTGTATGATGCATGGATCATACCGAAAGCGAAATGATTTTTTTTACTTTCCTGTATGAAAGGAACCAGGGAGAAAACAGCAACATCGATGAGTTTTATGCCAGTTCATCTCAGTGCAAGGTTTCCTGTCTTAAATTTACAAATCATTAATTGGGGAATTACATTCTAGCTCACACCGTGCAGCGTCACGCACGAGTAGTTAATCAGTTTCATACATTTTCCACGACAAGCGAGACGGGACTAATATAATCAGTGTCATTCTCCGCGTGACAACACGCGGCACTGTCCAGATATAATTCCCACTTTAGACGAGCTGTTACAAGCACTTATAAAGATAAGTGCTTTAACAGCTTAGCTTGAATAAATGACATTGAAAAAATATTTCATAGGATTTGATTTATTACCGAGTCTATAGCAACTCTGATGACGGCACACGCTAGTAAATATGCCTTCCTGTTGACAATTTTAGTATGATGAGGTTTGTTTATTTACTAGTGTATGACAGACACATTGTTTTTCGCGCGGTTTTTAAAATTTGACCTTTGCCTTTGATTTTTATTGATAAATTCAGTGAATTTCCTCGAAATATTAATAATGTGCTTATTTATTACATATTATTTATCGCACAACGATAGACAAATTATTTATATTAGTTATTTATCTGGAGTCTAAGCTAGGGAAACCCTGCAATTCGGGACTCCAGGTCCCATCCGCGAATCATCCCAGCGCTCGTCCCAATGCACGTCAGTAGTGTGAGTGAGTGAGTGTGTGAGTGCGTGCCTGCGTTTGGGGGTAAATAAGTGTGTGGGTAAATAAGTGTATTATGTGCGCATGTTTTATTAGAAATGCGTGTATCAGAAGAAAAAAAAAGAAAAACTATTGGGGATATATTAATAATGATTCTATGTCTGTGTAATTTAGAGTAAGTAGCTACTTTTCAAGAGTAGATTTGCACTTGTAACACATTTTATTATGGCTATTTAACACCCTATTCAAAGTCCAAAAGGAGGAGGTTATATGTTCGTTTTTTAGCGTTGTGTAACTCACTCTTTTTTAATGAGGATGAGTGAGGACCTCATTTTCCCTCGTGAGGGGCTCGCGGGTTATAGTTCATTTGAGGTAGGATAGGTAATGTTACAGTAACAGTAAATGAGTACGAAGCGAGGCGCGCGCAGTGTCTCATTTTGTACCAAACGGCATAGTACAAAATGAGTTCATTCTGCGTTTTGATTTGTTTGTAAGTGAAATTGTGAAAGATTCAAGTAATAAACAATCAAATAATTACCTACCTACTTTTATAGTAATAATAATAATAAATAAAAATAATAAACGATTATGGCCTTTTAAAAAGAAATCGCCTATATGGACATACTTCGAGTCTACTTTACTGATGAAAGTGAACCGAAAAGTATCGTGATCGATAGTCTAAAGATGAGTTGTGAAGAAAACAGCGACAATAGCGCAAATTCGACCCATACTTTGGCAAAGAAGGTGAAAACTAAAGAGCAAAGTTTAAGCCATACTATTCACTTAACTTTTATGGATTGCTTCGTAGAAGTGATAGCAGAAAAAACACAGCTTATAGAGAGACAAAAAATGCAGTTGCGACAACAAATCAAATTCCACATATCAAATTTCAATTTCACATTTCAACAAATCAAATTTAACAGATAGTCCACAATCAGAAGATGATTGTGGACTATCTGTTCTTGACTTTCATGATTATAAGAAATATTTAAATAATATTATTATAAAATAACTCAATAATTTATTTTATTTTACGAATTATCTCATTACAACAAAATATAATTATAAGATAATTGAGTATTCGGTATTCGGCCGAATAGTATAGACATATACGTTATTCGGCCGAATATAACAAAAGCAGCCGAATAGGCCGAATACCGAATACTAACCGAATATTCATTGCAAGTCTAATAATAGTTCTTAGTTGAACTAACAGCATCAAAACTAAATTAAATCTCAACAATATTTTTATAATAGGTATGTGCGGCGAATGTATTGATGTGAATACGCTCTGTAGTGGCAAAAGGTGACAAGTGCTTGAAAGATTCGTCAGTCCTGTTAGGTCCTGGGTAGCTCAGTGGTTAGAGCAGTCGCCCGGATTGCGAAAGGTCGTGGGCTCGATTCCCATCTCAGGGTGCCAGGGACCAAGTGGATTTTTTAAGCATTTTCTAATAAGAACAATTTTCAGTATGGCATTGTGAATGCAAAATTGATAAAAATATAAGAATTAATAGGGTTTATTTATCAGAAAGGAAGATCAGAAAAAAGCGATAATTATAAAGAGGACGTATTTAAAAAAAAACATTAGTTCTCGAAATCAAACTAGTTGTCGCTACGGTACGTTCTTAATTTCTCCTTGACAACCCTTCCGGTTTTCTTTCATGTTTAAAAGTAAATAAGTTTGCCATATTCAATAAAAAACTCATATTCTATTTGTACTTTTTCGTATTTGTATTGATATCTAAGTTTCAAACTTTTCAAATTTCAGTTTTTTAATATGTTAGTTAAAAGGAACAGAAATGACTGTCTTTTGACCATTCCTTTCCTGCCAAAAATCAACTTTTACTAGAGTCGACATCTAGTAGAGGTTCTTTTTTAGCGCTTTCGTTTTTTTTTAATACTCAAAAAAATCCATTTTTATACCTATGTATATATCAAATATACAAAGTACTCGTACCAATTAATCCCACCCGTCTAGAATGACGTTAGTAAAAAGTACAACGTGCAAATAAGTTATCATTTCGAACTTAAAAATATATTTTACATTAGAAGACTAAGACCAGATAATAAATCTTACATTAATAAAATAATTTTATCTTAATAAAAACTAAACAATTAATAAAAACATCAGTTCTAAACGAATAGCAGAATATTTCAAAATCACAAAGACAAGTAATATTTATTATACTATCGCTACTGAACTCGCATGGCAAAATCGGATGAATCGAGTCAACTGAAGTTACTAACAACCGATAATTTTGCTCATCACTAACGTAACATAATAAAAACTTTAAACTTGCAGTTCAAAAAAATAAAATAAATTTGAAAGTTAGATATTACAAGAAACACAAAACGATGTCATATTTATTTTACAAATCATTATCTGAAAATCATCTAGTTTTCTTTTGATTTATTGTACGTTTATGCAACTAGGCGTATAAGATTCCTATAAATATAGAGTAAAAGAATAATACAATGTAATTATAAAGACTTATCGATTTTCCTTTTTTTTATTGAAAATTATTTGTTGTAATCTAATATATTAGAAAAATAGGACTGCACTACTTATGTCATACGACACGTCGCTATACGCTCGTGTCATCTATCTGTCAGTGACTGTCAATTTTGTATATTTTGTATCGAAGACCACTGTAGCATTTTTACTATTTTGTACCTTCAAATATTGTAATAATATAAAGCCCACAATATTACTATATTCTCATCACACTCTTGACCAATGCGTTTGAAAAATCATCACAAGAAGACATCGAACTATACTGCTAAACAACATAAACCTAACCTTCATTTTCCAGGATTTATTTTAGATGCGACAAACAGTTTTCTTCTAGTTAAAATATATAAAGTTAAAAACCACGGCGTCGAAACGATTTGAAGAATCTGCCCGTTTGGAAGCAGACCATCGATACAAGGTAAGGTGATAAATATTGCAAATCCAAAACTTTAAGTTTAGTTGGCGCCAAAGTTGTTTATTTATTTACCATATGATTGCATAGTTATCTTTATGAGAATAATGTTTATTTTTTTAACCGTCATTAGTTTAAAAACCTCACTGGCTGTTTTATTGGTGAAATTAATTAAACCAAAAACAAATTATAAAGTTAAATTTGCCTTTTATTTTCAGATGCCAGCAGCTAGTTTTGGCTCATTGTCTCAGCTACCAGCAAATGGGGATTGTGGAATAAAAGATGTGTGGAACCATAACCTCCATGAAGAATTTCAAATCATTAGACAGGTATTAACACATTTATTTAAAATTCCATATACCTACAAATGCCAAGATTTATAATCAGATTCATTACTGTAATGCAAAATGTCAATAATTAAAACAAAACAATAGAATAATAAAACTGATTTTAGAAACAAAGAAGTATTGTTTGAACTATTTTTTGAACCATTTAAAAGTAGTTTTTTTTATTACTTTATGTAAAAATATTAAATAGAGAAAAAAATATACATTTAATAATAAAATACTTTTATCTTATTGACAGTATCTATTTGTAATGAAAAGTCAAGTCTTATTTATTTCCAATTGATAACTGAATTTTGCTTGACTAGAATGCACAAATTTTATTTGTAGTTTCTTTGACTACTAGTAGTTATTAAATTTTTATATATTTGTATACTGCAGGTAGTCCAAAAATATCATTGGGTGGCAATGGACACTGAATTCCCAGGTGTAGTAGCTCGTCCTATTGGTGAATTCAGGTCCACAGCAGACTACCAATATCAGCTTTTAAGGTAAAATTCATTGTCAGTTTGCTGATATATATCTATTTACCTCTCATGGACAATACTAATCAAAGCTGTTTTTTTTATTACAGATGTAATGTTGATCTCTTAAGAATTATACAATTAGGTCTCACATTTATGGATGAAAATGGTAAAACTCCCCCTGGATATACCACATGGCAATTCAACTTCAAATTTAACTTACAGTTAGTAATAAAATATTTTAATTTTTTTAGATTATATTAATAATAGTACTTACAAAATTACTTTTCTTAATAGAGTTATTATTTTTAATGTTACTGGTTCATAAATTAATATTCCAATTCATGTGATTGTCCAATTTATTTATGACTTTTAAAATACTAGCCCACAAGTGACAGCTATAGATAAAATATTTGGATATTATTTTAAAATTAAAAACAAACTATAAAAATTGTGATATATATCATGATATATTGTCAATCAAAGGATTGAAATGTTTTGTCTTGTATAATGTAAGTTAAAAATAGACATGTATTATATTTTACCAATTGTTTGACCATTATTTTATTGTATGCATTAAAATTTTGCCTATACAATAAAATAAATATATTTTAGCAATTAATAAACAATAAATTGTATATTTTTTCCAGAGAAGACATGTACGCACAGGATTCAATAGATCTCCTCCAGAATTCTGGACTACAATTTAGAAAACATGAAGAAGATGGTATAGAGCCATTAGAATTTGCTGAATTACTCATGTCATCTGGTACATTATCTATTTTGTTACTCACTATCTATCACTATCGCTTACAAGAATTACAACAATATATACAGTCCAGTTTAGTGTTAAACCATTGTCTTAGACATTAAATGATAGAAACTGTTTAAGTTAGCATAAAATATGTAGTAAATCAATAATATAAAACTAATAAAATACATAATAAATCTTAATATTTTTAGTATAACATTGAGAATGAAAAATTGGTCAAATATAATAAATCAATAGTCTTCATAACTAGATTTATTATGTATTATGCTTATGAATGACAAGTTTAAAGTGCTTAAAGCTTTTTAATTGTCAAGTTGGCGAGAAACTAGTAGGATGAGGAGGGATATATTTCATAAGAATTGATATTATGAATTGTTTAACTATATTAATAAATATACACATTTTTTATTTAATGTTATCATATAATAATTTACAACGTTAAATAACCGTAAAAAATAGCTGGCACTGAAAAACTAAAATTTTGTAACAATAAAATGAAAATAAGTAACAACTATGAGTAGTTTAAACACCGGAATTTTGGGCGAGCTTGTCGTGACGACAAAGAACAGGACTGAAGATATGACATTTTAAATCAATATGGATTTTAAGTGATTTATTATTATTCAATTACCCAAATAGATTAACAATGAATCGATTTTTCAGTATAATACACTTTTAAACAATAATATAGCTTACCAAATGAGTGAAATCAAAATAAAAGCCTAAAACAACATTTAAATTGCAACCTGTTGTTTATTTTGTGACATAATACATTAATGTTATTGCATCGATGTCAAATTTTGTAACAACGACATCCCTGTATATGTACATTTTCGTCACATCCGCTCTGACAAGTAGCATCATCGCGTTACTGCATTTGTTTTTCACTTTTTAATCATTATTTTCAAAATGAAAATGAACTAATATTGAAAAATATTTACATAGATTTTATTCTAAGGCAATAATGATCGTAATAAAATATATATAACCTTTTTTTTAATCAGACATATTCCCTATTAATAATTATTTAATATTTAAAAAATATTTTTCTGAAAATATGAACTTGTCAATTTTTTATTGATTAATATAATGTTCAAATTAGTATATTTTATTGTTTACAGGTCTTGTTCTAATGGATAATATAAAATGGTTGAGTTTTCATTCAGGATATGATTTTGGTTACCTATTAAAACTATTGACTGACCAAAACTTACCACAAGATGAAAATGATTTTTTTGAGAGTTTACGACTGTATTTTCCAACTGTTTATGATGTCAAGGTAAGAAAAACAAACTTAAATATACCTATATAAATATATAGCGGAGATTTTTATTTTGTTGCACTCAAGTAATCAATTAAAAAACAAAGTACTCTAATCTACTCTAACGGATTTGAATGCAAAACAATTTTAAAATATACGTACGAGTATATAGTCCTCCGTCATGTCAGGTTAATCAAAACTAATAATTTCCCACTCGATTTTATTACATAAACGTAGGGATGACGTCTAATTTTTGTGTTTGTTCTTCAGGTAGATTGTTGAAAAATATTATGCACGTATTTTTTTATTTTTTCGTGATCATTAAATTAAGACGATACATCAAGTTAAAATATCACATGACGTCACGCTTTTGTAAATTTTAAAGCGAGCATATATTCCTCAACTTTAGTGCCTGTTATCTAAGCTATTTCTTGTTAAATTGAAGTATAAAAAAATAAGTATCTAATATTTTTCTATTATATGGCTGGCGACTGGCGGACTAAATAGGATTTCTTTTTTTACCTAGTCGCCATGCCTATTACATAGTAATACAATTCCATTTAGAATTTCCAAATTTTTATTGTTACAGTACCTAATGAAATTATGCAAGAATTTAAAAGGAGGCCTACAGGAAGTAGCAGACCAACTTGAACTGAGGCGTGTTGGACCACAACACCAAGCAGGCTCTGATTCCCATTTAACGGGCATGGCATTTTTTAAAATAAAAGAGGTTAACCTTTATTTCTTCCTGGCTAAAAATACTAAAACTTAAAAAATATTAATTATTTACAATCATACATTTCCGTCATAAGACTTTTGACTGTGAAACAATAAAAACCGCATCAGCTTTAGCACATCCAAAATTGAATGAATCTTGTACATGTCAAATATAGTGAACTTTTTTGGTTACTAGTTTATTTTATCGTAATTTCTATAGTTTTTATAATCATTTGTATATGATTACAGATCTTCTTTGATGACAACATTGAAAGTTCCAGTGGCCATCTATACGGCCTAGGCGCGCCATTCTCCGTCAATGTTAACAACTTCCAAGACAATGGTGAAAACGGAAACTCGTCCTGATCTGGCGATTCCGCATGCTTAGGCAGACTCACGCCACAGTGCGTGTTTCACCTTACAGAATAAACCCTTTGCATGCATAAATTCTTACATTTATATAGCAACTACGTGGTAAACATTTTAGAACCAAATCTTAAAAAGGGAGGATGGATCCGTACCGAAACCGATACCGATATATCGATGATATCGCGAGCTTTTAGATATATCGGAATCGGCGATATTAATTTGCCGATGCACCAATATATACACGCATGGGATCACCACGTTATATTTTTTTCTTTGACTTGCACTGCCCCAACCAACAAGCGAATTGGACATCACATACCCCAATTCGCTAGTTGATTTTCGCTTTGATATTTCTAAGTAGTTGTGATTATGACGTGATTTTTTAGTTTTTATACCTTACATGCTTTCTTTGAATCTTCACTGTCCATATCGTCGATACATTTTTATAAATATCGGTATCGTACCGGTCGCAGCGCATATCAATGCAAACTTAATCATAAGTCATGTTTCCCACCACTAAGCATTATTGTTCGACATCAATTTTTCTAATAATAAAATGTTTACTTATTAGTTCCTATTACCTAATAAAGCAATGTACTGTACATTATTATTTTAAATGAACAAACTAGATTTAGATTATCAGGCTAAACTCTATATTTCGAGATTGTAAATAAAAATCGCGTGTAAATAATGTTTTCCAGATTGATATTTCGAGACTGTTTTTATGACGAAAGTACATCAATATTTATAATGAATTAAAATTATATGTTTTCATTAGCAAATAACGTGAAATTTATTAATGCCCAAATAATTTTTGACAATTTGATATATACGATTATTAAATATTAATAGATTGAATTTTATACGCGATAGATTAAGAAATGTTTATTATTCTTTTTAAGATTTTACAATATAAGTATTACGATAAAATATGTAACTTTCTTTTGTAATTAATAAGTTTAGTATATATATATTTTTTGAGATTGGCGAAGATGAAAATATAGTATCATAATTGCGACGCCTTTTTTTCTGTCCAACATTCTTAATTTGTTTCATATTTATTATTATTTCCTAATATAAAATAATCTATATCATAAGATACGAAAATAAATTATAGTATATGCGTCTGAATCGAAAAAAAGTTAAATATTTTTTTATTACGATCATATAAAAGCTTTGGAATAATGCCTATAATTTAAAAGCTTTGGAATAGTACAAATATTTTATTTTTTAACACTATGTCGCTTTCGTGTTCAAGTGTTAAAAAAAACTTTTCAAACGCAATGCCATTTTTGTCAGATCGGATGTGACGGAAATGTGTACACGTATAAGGATGTCATTGTAACAAAAAGTTAACATCGATGCAATTACACAATACATTGATTAACGCAAAACAAAACCAGTTTTAATATAAATGATGTTTTAGGCTTTTATTTATATTTCACCAATTTTATGTTTTTTAGTTATGGCCTAAGTAGAGACACGAGAATCAAGAGACTGAACGGTAGTTAAAATTAACCAGTTCTTTGAGATTGTTCTTTCTCTACTAAAAAAAGGACAACACAAAAGCAAACATCACTATAACTACGGTATACGGTATTTTTATAAACACATAGAAGAAGATTTTGTAACACTTATTGTTATAATTTGATATTATGTTTTTTTATAAATTTGCAAAAGAAACCCGGGTTTGTCAGAAATAGAACAGTGTTAAGATTAACTGGACGGGGAGTTTTTGGTTGGAGTTGATTTGTTAAGTTAAAAAAAATGTGATCAGTGGTACCTTCTTCAATTCCACATTCGCAGACAGAACTATTTAAAATTCAAATCTTTGAAAGAAAAACAAGGCGTAGTTACGTGTCCAAAACGTAGACGGCATGGGGTCGTGCCACTACGTCTGGGGATATCTAAACTATTACGTTCATTTTTGATATATGTCATATATTTTAACGTAACGACAAGCGCGAAAAAATCCCGGTGTTTAAAGTGCTCCAATATTCAATAGTTGTTTGTAATTATTACTTAAACTCATCATTTATTTTTATTACAAACATTAAGTTTTTCGTTGCTGGGTATTTTTTACCGATATATAAGGAAATAAATTATCAAATGTAATTTTTTTTTTGTAGAATATATATATATTAATCACTAAATGGCGACTCTAGCAAAAGTTGATTTTTGCAGGAAATGAATGGACCAAAAACAGTCATTTCCGTGCATATTAACCAACATATTGAAAAAATTTGATAAGTTTGACACTTAGATATCAATACAAATACAAAAAAGGACAAATAAAATATGAGTTGTTTATTGAGTTTTAAAAGCAAATCTACTTTTAAACATGAAAGAAAACTGGAAGAGTTGTCATGGAGAAACCAAGAACGTATCGTAGCGACATCTAGTTTGATTTCGGGAACTGCTTTTTTTAAATACTTCCTCATTAGTAAAATACTGTTTTGTTTTATTTAAAAATAAAAAAAAAACTTTAAAAATTTCTTTAATTTATATTAGAAGACCTAGAAATAAAACTAGTTTAAACTATGGGTGAATAAAGTAATTCCCCAATACAAATTCCCGATTTTGTTTCATGATAACGTAAATATAAACATGCGGAAGAGCAGTGAGTGTTATATTTTTTTGCCATGTATCTTGTAAAATCTTGCAACTGAATTTTAAAGCAGTTACCCTCAATCGATTGATTTGAAATTTCACACATAATTTTGCACACATTTTGTTTGTTGTAGTGCTCCTCGATTGTAAAATCGAGACTTAAATTCATCACAATCAACTGGACCTTTAATCCCAGAACAAGCTGAAGAAGTACAAGAACTGACAATGTTAATCTGGTACCAACTGGTACCGAACGTGCAGTCAAAATCTAACCTGTATAATGCAAAATAATGAAGACCGTTCTTGCCAAAATATTCTTTAAAATTAATGTATGTAATGTACAGTATTAATTAAATATATTTAATATATGAAATACCTAATTAAGAGGGTGGCAAATTTGTCTTCCGCCTACATTTATTTATCTACACGATCATTAATCACGATAAACAAGCGATTTTTTTTTTTCTCTGCAAATAATAACTATTGATATTTTTTTTTTTTTAACGTGCCATCCGATGCACGCAGGAGCTAGAAATTACAATTTTTTTGTCACTCATCCTGTGATTGGCCATTTGGAAATTTGCTTAACAACTGTATCGCAAACTAAGCGCGTTAGACACTGCGCCATCGAGCTCCTCGATCCAACTATATCTATAAATAATTTAAGAATCTCAAACTCACGCCCGAACTCTTACTTTGTGAAAGGAATTATTTTCGATATGGTTGTCAACCATCAAGGTCAGCTTGATTAGAGTTCAGGATTCCAACTATGTGAATGGATTTTTACAAATTCCGATGCATGAAAATGTCGATATGTCGAAAAAAATTATCGATTACTTTTCACAAGCCTAGTAACGTCAACACCGGTTAGCTTTTGAAATCGAACAAAATTGCAGTTCACGAATTACGATTATTTAGAATTATTACAAACAAAATAGATTTGCACTGTCGTAATAAATAATAAAATATTGCAGGAATTTATGAGATTTTATAGTCTCTTGTTATTAGTTAATATAATTTATATAGGAAAGACGAAGTTTTTGTACTAACCTTTAAGTATTTCAAAATTTTTCTCCTTGAAGGTATGTTTATTTGTCTTTTCATATTCTTCAGTAAAAAAATAAATAACGTACGTAAATAATTTTGAATACCAGAATATACAAAAGTAAGCAAAATAAAATGTGTTCTTATATATTTCGCGTTGCCTAACAATGTGGTTTAATATGAGTTTTTAAATACAGATGCCAGCAGCAAGTTTCGGTACCTTAGTGCTTACGAATGCATTGAAAGAAGACTGTTCTATTAAAAACGTTTGGAACCATAATCTTCATGAGGAGTTTCAGGTTATAAGACAGGTACTTTTTCAAATTATAATTTTAATTTATATCAAAGTTATTTATATTATCATCTGTAGGTATGTGAATTTATTGATAAATAAATTGTTTAGATTAAATGAATATACATTGTTGACTTTCTATTCTGCAAAGTTTTCTATTGTCACCTTGCATTTTCAAGCCTCTTAAAGCTCATACATATTTCAGATATAAATCATTATTTTTTGTTAAAATATAATTGATAAGAGTACAAATCTGTGACAATAGTATCAAATACATGTGCAGTATGAACACTTATGTGATCAATTAAGTACATATCTGTTTGGCACTTAGGTAATAATATTAAAACAAAAGCAAATTAAAATAATATTTTTTTGTTTAAAGAGTGCAGCAGAATTTACGCCAATGTAACACTTTGTAAAAAAGGATTTTTAGTCATTCTTTCAATAAAATTCTCTTTGGCTATATGATAGAATATACTTAACAATATTTTTGCTCTGAAAGATCAAAGATAGACATCAAATATTACTATAAAAAAGGAGTGTTTTAAAATCTTAAAAGCTAGCTCAGTCAGACTCATGCATGAAGTGTGACATACCAATACTATATAAACAACAAAAAATCATCTCTTGTATGTGAGCACCCTTAAATATTCATTTTATTCTGTTTTTTTTTTTAATATTTGTTTTTATAGCAGCCTGGTGACAGATAGACAGAAATAAGGTTCCATTTTACCCTTTGGGTATAAAACCCTACTATTATTTGATGTCTAAAAAATTCACTTTAATAAATGTCACAATAAAAACAAGCTGTTTAATGTTGTTTTTTATACAAATAAGAATTAATAATCATTTAAAATTTTATTCTCAAATATTTCATTAGGTAGTACAAAAGTTTCATTGGGTGGCTATGGACACAGAATTTCCTGGGGTAGTAGCAAGACCCATAGGAGAATTTAGGTCTACTGCTGATTATCAGTACCAATTACTAAGGTAAGATGTGTTTTTAAATTATTTTGAAATGATCATTATTAGTGCTAAGTTGTTATGATTTTAGTAACTCATCCCTTTATAATAGTTTATATTCAAACAAGACATTATAAACTGATCATGTTAACAGTTTTACAGTGACACAGTTGCTGCTGCAGCATACATTGCAATCTTTTAGTTTTGGTCATAGTCTAACCTAAGCAATTGATTAGTTCTGTCTTTGAGATGTTGTCATAAATTCCATTTTTGTGTCAACAGTGGCTACTTCACTGCCATTTTCACTTGCAATATTATTTACTTTCGACTCCTCATGTTTTTCTGTATAAATATTACATAATGTCATAATACATTAATGATTAAAAAGCTTCATCTTTATACAGGTGCAATGTCGACCTTCTAAGAATAATTCAACTAGGACTAACATTTATGGACGAAAGTGGAAAAACACCACCTGGCTGTACCACATGGCAGTTCAATTTTAAATTCAATTTACAGTAAGTTCCATAAAATCATATACTCTATCATAGTCATGGATTATAAAATTAAGTTGAAATTTACAAATACTTTACCTATACTAGTATTAAAAAGAAGTAAATTGTCTGACTTTGTTAGTTTGTAGATGCTAATCTTCATAAATACTGATCATATCATGAAAATTAGGTGAAAAACCTATGGCACAGCCAGTAATGCAACTTGATCCATTTCCTGAAATAAATACCTACCCTTCATTAGAGTGTTAAGGTTGCCTCCTATATTGAGATTTTCATGGCATTTTCATGACATACAATTGGATGTAGTTACTCAGAAAGGATCCAACCCACAAATTGATTGAAAATGAGTTAAGTATACCAAAATGTCCATCAGGATCTACAATTTCATATAGGAAAAAAGCTCTTAGCTGTATTAAATATTTGACGATTTTTTCAATGGTAGTTACCATCCCGCATCTTTGGTAGGTTCATATTTTAGTTCCATGAAAACAACTCAACTTTCTTGGGTCCGTACAGTAAAATAGCAAATTAAAGGCACTAACGTTGGTTAAAAATCACACCATTAGTTCATAACGCATGAGTAATTTTTGTTAAAAGGTAATTTTTATTAAATGGTGAAGGTAGGTAATTTTAGATAGTGAGAATACATTTGACATTAAATATTAAAACAATAAATATAAAGAACCTTTAATAAATAGTTTTTATGATAAAATTTTGGCGTTTCAGTTAATTATGCTATTATTTCTTCATTTGGATCGTTTTTGAGATTTGTTTTGTAAGAATAAAGTAATTAAAACCTAAATAAATCAAAAACCATCCAGACATACTTTAACCTTTATATTTTATTAAATATTGTTGGTTTTGTTAAAATGACATAACAAGATAATGTAAGTGGTTTTCCATGCAATTAGATAAAATTATAATACGCAAAATGTTACATCAACATGCAAATACAGTTTAATCTTCAATCGTCTATATCTCAAAAGTGACATTGTGTGGGTTGGATCCTTTTTGATTAACTATGTCCAATTGATAGTCTTGCTGTAGCAAACGCAACCGAGTGCACTACTAAGAGCACTTAGAATCCTTATAAGAGTGTGAGTCTCTGTGTGCACACGATTTTGACAGTTTATTTCTAGTTATGCTACTGGATTTACGGTGCCTATGGGAAACTACATCATACGTAGTTCATATAGACTTTGATTTAAGTGGGTGAAGTTGCGGAAAAACAGCTAGTCATATAATAAACTTACTACTGTTATCACTATTATAATAAGAACTTGTATCAATAAATTTTATTTCAGGGAAGACATGTATGCTCAAGATTCTATAGATTTACTACAGAATTCGGGTCTCCAATTTCGGGAACACGAGGAACATGGAATAGAACCTCTTGAATTTGCTGAATTACTCATGTCTTCTGGTATGTTTTTGCTTTTATGTAATATAGCTTACTTTGCTTCAAATAGCCTTTCTATCTATCTGGGTTTGTACATTCACGACATCATTGTGATATGCACACAAAATCTTTACTCTATGCACAAAACTGATGCATAGAGTCGATCATTAAAAAATGACAATAAAACAAGAACAATTACATCTAACGATCGATTATGAAATAAAAACATATAAATAAGTTAGCTTAGCAGCGACATCTAGGAATTTGATTCATAATTAATAGGCATATCTTTATGACTAACTAGTGGCCGCCAGCGACTTCGTCCGCGTTTTCCATTATTTCTTCACTCCTAGTAGTTGCAGCATGATGGTATATAGCCTAAAGCCTTCCTCGATAAATTTTTCAATTCGAACCAGTAGTTCCTGAGATTAGCGCATTCAAACAAACAAACTCTTCAGCTTTATAATATTAGTATAGATCTGACAGATGTCACCACAGGGACGTCACACAATGGCGGGACGTGTTTCAAGTCACGTGAAACAGACAAAAAATCGCGACTTTTAATTTTTAGATAGTCATGCTATGTTGAGACTCAAAATGTTCATGTTACGATGTAAATTTTAGTTTTTATACAATTTCGGGACTTATTCTTAACCACCGAAACTACTCTACTGTCGCTATTATTATTATATTTTTTTAATTGCAGGTATTGTACTTATGGATAACATCAATTGGTTAAGCTTTCATTCTGGTTATGACTTTGGATATTTACTAAAACTGCTTACAGACCAAAATTTACCTCAGGAAGAAAATGATTTCTTTGATAGTCTCCGTTTGTACTTTCCAACAGTTTACGATGTAAAAGTGAGTATTAAAAATCGATATTCCTATTAATATGTCGGCTGCACGACAGGAGACTACATTATGTCAAATTTTCTCAATTGATTTTGAACTCTATCTACAATGCATACCTAAAATCAAGTGAAGGAATTTGAACCTGATGTACTGTTGACTATCGTCATCATCGTCGACCCTTTCACGTCCACTTTAAAGAGGCTTAGGCCCTTAACCCATTTCCCATTCCTTACTTAAAAACATGACCGCCATGCCGTCATACATCCGAGTCGGTTCGCCTATTGGCGGAAATGACATCTTAGTAAAGTATCTTTGCTCGCCGACGGCGTTTTCGGCATGAGGCTTTAGATTTCAAAATAAACTAGACTTTTTGTGTAACGACAGTGTTAATAATTTTATGACATACTAGTTTCGAAGTTGTGATCGTTTTACTGCAAATGCAGCCGGGACCAACGTGCCTTCTAAAGCACGAAGTAGCTCAAGATAATAATTTTTGGTTATCCATCCCGTAACCAACCCTTGCGAAAATTACTTAGCAACAACGAGCGCGGGCCGTGCCACCACTGCGCCACCGAGTTGCTCGGTATTGTTGGCTGTACATAAACAAAAATTCTCTTTATAGTACTTGATGAAGTTATGCAAGAATTTAAAGGGAGGCCTCCAGGAAGTAGCTGATCAGCTTGAACTCCGACGGGTGGGTCCACAGCATCAGGCGGGTTCTGATTCCCACCTTACTGGAATGGCTTTCTTTAAAATAAAGGAGGTGAGTAAATAGCTTAACACATTTTCTTTTAAACTCACTTAATATTAAGAATAGCATAAGCAGATTTCTCGTTTCACCAAACATGTAATGTTAGGTAATGCCTTACTAAGCTCTTGCTTACGCAACGTTTGTCTATGATTTTGCATGCTTCAGTTCTTCTTATTTTTTTAATGTATGGCCTTTTGCGTTTTCACAATTCCATCCATGTCACGTTTAGTAGTCTTTACATGTAGAGACAATAACAAAAAATATATTTTGAGATAATAAAACAAAATTTTACTTCGTCTTGTATTTACACGAGCAACCAAGCCGTCAGTGTCCTAAAATTTTAAAAATCTTGATTCCAACTTATCAAATTGATTTTATCCCTTGACATATCCGTTATGGCTAAAGGGTAAATGTATCATTGGTGAAACGCATTTTCACCTTAGACAATGCCCAAATATTTAGGTGTCAGATTTGGACGTCTCCTAAATTTAGTAAAAACAGGCATAAGACTTCGCTGTTCTGTTTGTCACCAGACTGTACACATTAACCATGAAAGTTAGTCAGTTGAAATTTTCACAGATGATGTATTTCTGTTGCCAATTCAACAAACAATACTAAAAAACCAGAATTAAATAAATATTTAAGGGGGCCCCAATACAACAAACATGATTTTTTTTGCTTGATATCGATAACGACAACAGGTAGACGCTTGAAATATTTACAGAATATCTACATATACAACGTGTCCCAAAATTCAACGATAAGCGGGCGCCAAGAGGTAGACCTGCTCATGTGTACTTATGGAAAAATAAGAAAAAAATTATATCTTATTAATCTTTTTTATTATAAAATTAAATTCGAAAATCTTCGAAAATTTACACCTTTTATGATATTTTCAACTACCACGACCACAACTTCTCAATTATGTTGAATCTTTTTTTGGTATCGGATACCTAAGTAGCACTACTATTTGCTTCAACTCTTAAAAACACCAAAATGCCCGCAGTTTTTACACAAAAAACAATGAAAATGTATTTTTCCCTTAAATTTTCACAGATTTTTACATTCCGTAATCTTTGACTTACGGTCTTGTAAAAAAAAAGTATGGACACCACTGTGGCAAGTTGTTTTTAAAATTGACTGAACTCATCAAGATTCCAAAATGGTATAATAATCTAAGATAACTAGTCACAGTAAAAAAATATGCACACCATTTGTAAACAAACGAACCAAATTATAAATATTCATTAGATATTTATTTATTAGGTAATGCTCTATTTCTGCTATTTTGAAAGTATTGTTTTTCATGCCACTTCGCCCTTTACTTGTGTCTATGTATACCAAATTACCAATTCTACCAGCTACCTGCACCCGAGCGGCTGCATCCCTTTATCGAAAACGAGTTCTGCGGCATTGTCACATTCCTTTGACGTGATTTGTTTTTCTAACTCAGTTCGCACGTTTGTAATGGCTCAACTTATAGTTGACTCAACAGATAGCGAGAAGGGTATGTTAGAGAGGGATAGATAGATATTTTATGTAGAATAACAACAATGCAGGTACATAGAGAAATCCTGTTCTCAGCAAATCTGAAGTCGGATCAGTACGTTCTGCTCCTTTGTTTACTGCGCACCTTTCTGTATTCAATTGACGTGGCTCTCGTACTAACGACTTTTGGCTTTCTATTTTGGACTGGAATTAAGTGATCTGCAAACTGAACTAACCTGGCATTAATTTGGACTGTGATAGTGTTTTGTGAATTGGACTTTCGTCGTATTTTGGATTGTTTAGCGCTATCATGCCGCTACAATACACGCCGATGGAATACGCTAATATGCACCTCATTTATGGAGAATGTCGGTGCAATGCTAACGCTACTAGCAGATTGTATCATTAAAGATACCCAGATTACCGAGTATTTATGAATGTGCATCGAGCGTTCTCGGAGGGTCGTTTGCCATCAGCCAGAAGCAACGCTGGAAGACCTAGATCGGAATACGATGAAGAAGTTCTCAATGAAATAAACATTGACTCAACTACTTCAGTACGCGCCATAGAAGCAGCTACGGGAATCCCAAAAAGTACGGCTCATCGAATTTTAAAACGTCACAGGCTTCACCCATACCACTACAGACGTGTGCAAACATTGCTACCACGGGACTATCCACTACGGATCACATTTTGCCGTATTATGCTTCAAAAGCACCGGGAAGATCCTCAATTCTTGGACAAAGTACTATGGTCGGACGAAACAACATGCAAGAAAGATAGATATTTAAACCTCCACAACCTACACAGCTGGAGCAATGAAAATCCACACCTAATGAGACAGGAAAAATCCCAATATCAGTTTAAGGTTAACCTATGGACGGGCATATTAAATGGAAAAGTGATCGGGCCTTTTGAACTACAAGGAAACTTGAATGATTTGCCAGAATTGCTTGAAGACGTCCCCTTAAGAGATCTACAAAATATGTGGTTTCAAAATGATGGTTGCCCAGCTCACTACGCTCGTCCTGTGAGACAATACTTGGACCAAGAGTATTCCGGGCGTTGGATTGGGCGACTTGGTCCTATCTTATGGCCACCCCGATCACCCGACCTAAACCCCCTGGACTTTTTCTATTGGGGTTGTCTCAAAGACAAAATCTATGAAAAACCCATTACGACATTGGACGAGCTTCGGCAAAAAATTAGTCAGGCTGCGTCACATATCAATGCTAAAAGGTATGCACGAAAAATAATACGCTCTTTTTTAAGGCGAAGTCGTGCATGTATTAATGCCGGTGGAAAACAATTTGAATATTTACTGTAATGTTAATTATTAATAAATGAATGAGACTAAAACTCACTAGTTTTATTTCAATATTTTTTTTAAATATTAAAACATTTCGGAACAGTACAATTTATTACTCACAACTTTGGTTCTTGATTCTAAATGGTATGATTTTTATTTTTTGCTAGTTATCATGAAGTATTATACCATTATGGAATCTTCATGAGCTGCGTCAATTTTAAAAACAACTTGCCGCAGTAGTGTCAATACTTTTTTTCTACATGACTGTGAGTCAAAGATTACGGAACGTAAAAATCTGTGAAAATTTAAGGAAAAAAATACATTTTGATTGTTTTTTGTGTAAATACTGTGGGCATTTTGGTGTTTTTAACAGTTGTAGCGAATATTAGTACTACTTAGGTATCCGATACCAAAAAAAGCTTGAACATAATTGAGAAGTTGTGGTCGTGGTAGTTGAAAATATCATAAAATGTGTAAATTTTCGAAAATTTTCGAATTTTATTTTATAATAAAAAAGATTAATAAGATTTTTTCTTATTTTTCCATAAGTACACATGAGCAGGTCTACCTCTTGGCGCCCGCTTATCGTTGAATTTTGGGACACATTGTATATAACTCAAAGGTGACTGACATAGTGATCTATCGGCGCACAGTTCAAACCACTGGACGGACCGGGCTGTAATTTGGCATACAGGTAGATGTTATGACGTAGGCATCCGCTATGAAAGGATTTTGATCAATTCTACCCCCCAAGGGGATGAAAGTTTGTATGAAACTTTGTCAATTTTAAACCGATCGGGCTGAGACTGCATGCATAAAGCTACTATGACGTGGGCATCCCCTAAGAAAAGATTTTGATAAATTTCTCCTTTAATGGGATAAAATAGGGGATGGAACTTTATTTTAAGTTTTCTACACAATATATTGAATAAGTTAGAAATGCTGCCACGCGGTCGAAGTCGCGGGCATAAGCTTTGTATTTATATAGTAACTTTAAAAATAAATAATTATTAAAATTAAACAAATATTTATTTTCTGATACAAAAAACGTGATTTTTCGCCCGTTTGCGGTATCCGGAACCCTTTCGTGCATGAATCCGTGTCACACACGGCTGGTACCTAGATAGACATGAACTTTTAACTTTCAACACCACTGGAATACGATTTTAATCTTAAGCATTACATCACATGAATCCTATTGCAATTTCTACGAAATAATTAGTTTTATCTACTGTTGAACTTCCTTTACAGATTTTCTTTGATGACAACATTGAAAGTACAAGTGGCCATCTCTACGGATTAGGAGCCCCATTTTCAACAAACGTTAATAACTTCCAAGATAATGGCGAAAATGGTAACTCGCCTTGATTGAGCGAACTTTTGTATTTATAGAGTATCACCTCGAAACCAGCTGGAAAGTCAGTGGCATGGATTGAATGCTAAAGTTCAAATGTGCAGAAGGCAACGGTAATAAATCGAGTGAAAAATCGAAACTAATAAGTTTGTATGATTGTCCCAAAGATATTAAAAGTAATAATAATATTGAAATTTCAATGAATTTTAAACCTTCTAATTATTATTGTCATATTTTTTATGAATATTATGTTTGTATCTTGAGCCTCTCTATGGTTAAAGCAAACTTTCACACCTTATATAGACTTAAATATTTTCGTATTTTTAATTTAATTTGCAAACTAGTTGTAAAACGAAAGAATTGAAAAATTTTGTCGATATCGGACTTGATTTATCAGCGCAACTTTGCATCTTTGTAACTTGTGACATTACATATATAATATAGCATGGCGACGAGATAATGGTTTTACTGCAATCTAGTGCGAAAAATTGTGGTTACTAGGTATAAGTAGTTATATTAATACAGCGGTAGAAAAGCTAGTTATCTATTTAAGATGAAGATAGATTTAGTAGTTGAGAATTTGGGTAACTATAAATTGAGCCGCCAATTAGAATGTTGAGACGACGACATCTTATGAAAGCAATTCTTTGATTCTTATCAAAATAAAGTAGCTTTTGCAGATTAGAATTATCAGAGTAAAAATATGTGATATTGAAAATCTTTTACTTGTTCGTTCATGATCTAACGTGCATAATTAATGGTACGTGTCTGTGGCAATTTAGCATTTATTTAAGTACAAATTGTAACTTTATATTATTTCTTCTTTGCTTAAAATGTTGATTTTTGATTCTGACAAAATGTGTAACTGTTTATAGAATACTATCAATTTTATTCACAAAACGATGCCTGAAGACCTTTCATTCAACAAGAGATTTAAATAACGTTTATTTATATTATATATAACACCAATGTGAACTTTGGAACTTCATAATAGTTTAATATATAGCCGTTTTCATGTAAATAATCGCTTGTTTTATTTTTTATTATATACCCTGACAGTAGTTTACGTCAATAGTACGTTAAGACTGTATAAAGCTGTCAAATTTCCCCATTTAAATTTAATCACCTTAATACAATGAGGATAAGAGTTAAATATCAACTTTGGAAAGACATATTGTGGTAACTTGACGTGCTGCTATATTGTGCTACAATACTACCGAACAGCCCCGCGACTCTGTAAAAATCCAAACCTGAATTCGAATTAACAGGCAATAGTGATGCGATTCGAGTAGGATATTATGACTCGAATCATACCCAATTTTTCATTGACTAGTAAACAAAATTCAAACGGGCTACTTCTTCTTCTTAATTTTAATGGCACTTTGCGTCACCACATTACTGCCAACTTCACATAGGAGACCATTACACGATTTAAATACATTCATTAAACAAAAAAATTTTGAATTACCAATTCTCTTTCTACATAGATTTACCAAAAATAACTTAATACGTTAATAAAAGGGCTACTCAAGTGAGATTTTTTTCATAGTAATAATATATAAAATACACATTAAGAATTTTGACATATTATATTAAAAAATAAACGACATAGATTAAGATAGTAGCGAAGTGTCATCTAGTGCCAAAATAATCAACTCGATGCGCCGAGTTGACTCGATAACTCGAGTGATTTTTTTTTTCACTCAAGTAAAAGTTTGAAAAAATTCAATCGAATGACTCGAGTCGCAGCACTAGTAAGTAAAAGTTATTTCAAGAGTGGTATTACTGTTTAATTTTTCGAATATCGTAAATCGTCTCTAAACTAGTTTATCCAATTCTAGAATTGAACTTTGAAAGCAGATATGGTGTAAGGATAATTACGCGGTAAAGCCGCAGGGCCGAGATACGATTAAGTACTGTATATCTTTACCGTGGCACTTCGCTACCGCCAGCCTGATCCGATCCGATAAGATCAGTCTTAACGAAGCCTAAGGCTGCGCTCAGTTTGGACGCGTTTTCGTACGAATTTGACTCGTGCGTTCACGTACGAACATGCACGAATAATCCCGACCTTAGAAGTACTATGGAAGCGCTCCGACTGCGTGCGAGTTAGTCGTGTGTATACGTACGTATAGTTACGACGTCAGAAACCAATCCGAACTTGTTGGGATTTTATAACTTATTCGTACGTTTTTTCTTAAGAATGGATGTAGAAACATTTATTAATTTAGTTCACAGTAAGAAATGTTTGTGGGATCAGAGTGATTTAAGTTACATAACCATGAAACAATTCAGCATTTTTATTTAAGTCTTCCATAATATGATGAAATTCGCCGAAATCATTTCTTTTCAAATATATTTGTAGACGGACAAACACGTATTCAGTGTGAACACTAGCCTAAAGGCTACGCTCACTTTAGCCTTACACTGATAGATTTCAGCAGATCCATAATTATTCAGATTCTGGGTTTTATCACATTATAATAGTATTTTTGTAAATTATTAACACTGTGGAATACTTTAAAATAAATTATTATTTCGTCACCAAAATATTAGTCCGACGTTAGATTCATTTTCTTTAATTTTTACAAGACTGCTCAAAAAAGGAATATATTATGTTTAGGGTTAATAATATATGTGTATAACATTTTCATCATCTTTCATACAAATAATGAGGAAGTATATAAAAAACAACTGTAGTTCCCGATATCAAACTAGATGTTACTATAGTACTTTCTTGATTTCTCCATGGCAACCCTTCCAGTTTTCTTTCATGTATAAAAGTAAATTAGTTTTCAAAACTCAATAAACAACTCGTATTCTATTTGTACAATTTCGTACTAGTATTGATATGTAAGTTTCAAACTTTGCAAATTTCTGTTTTTTAATATGTTATTTAAAGGACTGGAAATGACTATCTTTGGTCCAATCGTTTCCTGCAAAAATCTATTTTTACCATCTAGAGGGCGTCCTTTTTTAGTGCTTCCTTTTATTCTTAAATACTTCCTCATTAGCTAGACTTTTGAGATATTATTGGGATTAATTGAAAAAACGATTAACCCGTAATCACAATTAACGGTTTACATTGGTCAATGAGATCAGCATGTGAACTGAGGATGATTTCTGAACCTTACTATTATTAATTGGTCATCAGTTTATCGACCAATAATTTCATTGCTCGCAGAGGTCGACCCACATAAAATTTAGACATTTACATAAACGTTAAAACTTCTCTATAGTTTTCAGTCACTTTATTTTCATATAATAGCTCAAGGCGTTAAGTAACGCCTGTTGCCTTACAACAGGTGTCTATTATTTACCAAATAAAATAAATACCATACAAACAATTAGAAATTTGTAGGGAATGTTTACGTAAAATGAGACAACTTCACAATAGACTCATCTCATAAGTATTCTTAAAACTATAAACGCACAATAATCTTCATATAATTTTGTACTCAATATAATTAAGCATAAATTGAGGTCCTGAAAATACTGAATGAATAGACCGTAAACGTCAGGTGTAGCCGATTCTACGTAACTTGGTTGACGTAATGGAACTTAGATTCAAATGAATATACAATTATATTATTTTCTATTCCGTTGTTTATTGTTCATCTGGCAATCTTCAAATTGTGCCTATATTAAGGTTTTGGAAGTAAGTTTCATTTCTTTTTCTTCTTTTGTTTTTGCGCATTATCTGGCGTATTGTCTGCTTTACGTTTGCCAGCATTAGCTCCTTTGCCAGTTGCATTACCACCGGGAGTGTTTTGATTGACATTACCACTCTTTTTCTTCTTTTCTGCACGTTCTTTTTCTTCAAGTTCCTGATTTTCTCTCTCGATCAAAGTAATAAGTGTATTACATCTAAAATAATAAAGAAATTAGCCATTACCAATAATATAGTAAAATAACTGAACTGGAATGGACATAATATAGCATTTTGTGCACCTATTACAATTTTCTCCTATTACAATTCTATCTTATATTATTGTAGCCTTGAAAACCATGTCATTTATTGGTAATACAAAATACTCATATTTTATTTCTATTAAAAAGGTAAATAATATATCATCGATAATGCCTTTTATAATATACATTTAATATTTACCGTCGCTGTAACTCGACAGCAGTGCGCGACTTCAAGAACCAGTCGAAGCGGAACTGTGGTGCCGCGTGTACGGCCGCGCGAAGCTCCTCATACACATTTTCTTTGTCGAATCCAAGTTTGTGTAACATGCACACCAAAAATCTAGAAAATCAAAACATATTTTTGATATTCTTATATGAATAAGTATAACCTAAACATTATAAGAATCATGTCCAATTTTGACCTAAAATTCACTAACGCGTCTAGTGACGTGATGTATTTTTTTCTCCATATTTACGAATTTACGAGTCAAACTATAAAGTTTTGATTTTAATGCATTAATTTTTTCAAAGTAGCTTCATTATTATCTCGAGTTGTGATGACTATTATATAAGATAACCTCAAAACATTATTTACAAATTACGAATCTGCCGGGGTTCCAAATAAAAAGATGCCGAGATATTATTCTATTTTACGCAAGAAATAATTTAAATTATCATTAAAGGTGGCTAGACTCAACCTTAAAAAAACATGTGACGGGTCAATCAATGTATGTAAAATAGACAAGATTCTTTACAGAGAGAGTTATAAATCATAAAAAATTCTGTTCTGAATACCGTTGACACCCCAAAATTGTATTTTGTCCTGCCTCGCCCAAAACTTTCGGCTTTACCACGTAACTGAAGAACTGATTAATCTGTCAAAATGTAGCCTCGAGTAATCTGTCAGAGGACCAATCAGTTTTGATCTGACAATTGATTTATCAGTGTGACAGATTAATTTCATTGTTCAGTTAATTAGAACTTCAGTTATGCGGTAGATCTCAATAAATAAACAAATAGGCATGGGCAAAGAGGGCTTAATCAAACTTGTAACCAATCAAAAAATAATAAGATACAATATAATATCCACAAAAGTTTATTACCTGTCCTCCTCTTCTACATAATTTTTGCCTTTATTAGTACCATAAGAGATTCTTAGTTGATGGAATGGCGCCCTATACCGCGCCATTTTGGCGTCCAACGCCTTCTTTATCGACGCTCTTCTTTGTATCTTCGCTTCTCCTCTTTCAATCTGCCCCATAATCCTGTCAACGTCTTGAAGTTCGTGACATCGTTCCCAAAATACAGCCGAATATTCCATCACCTATAATAAAAAATAAATAATACCAGTATGGTGATTAAATTAATTTAAAGTGAAATAATTTTACGTACTTCTTCAGGCGTCTTGCCTTCGACATCTTTTGCAATGTTTTCAATGTCATCTCTTCCATATTTCTCATTTGCTTTGATGAACTGATTGAAATCTCGTTTTGTCCAGTTTGTGAAACCTAAAAAAGAACAAGTCATATTTTTTTTTCTATTTATTTATTTATCTATTTACAATCAGCCCAGCAGCTATAATCAGATTTTTTGACATTTATTTATGACAATTTGGGTTATTCACATCCTGCGATGTGTCACCTCATATACAAAAGTTTAAACAGATGTTTACAGCGTAGCTATTCTTTCTTTTTAGCCGGTAAGCAGATGATTTATTATCTAACAGCATTACAGCAAGCTGGTTTCTATGATGCTGTAGCTTTTGTTTATAGAACAAGTCATATAAGTAATAAAGGACTCCAGGAAAACTAGGCAAGAAAAACTTTATAAGTCATACAACATTTTCTTACTATTTATTCTTTATTTTGTTCTATGATTAGGTACAAATATTTGTTCATTATTTTATCCCAAAATAACCATTCAGATCTTAGCAACTAGGCTGATTGTAGATGGAAAGAATACAATATTATATCAAAAATGTTGCACACAAACCAGCACGCCAGGTTCCACAATTGGTCATATTTCCTGTTGATTTTTTAAAATTAAATGGAAAAATGTGAGATTTGTATAAAATCTATGGCTCGTAAGTTACCTTGTGTCAGAAGCTGTTCCTTTTCTTGTACCTCTTCCTCAGTAAGTGCTTCAGCATCATCTATTTTACGCTGCTCTTCTCTTTGTATCTTCGCTGCATCTGGACCCAATTCTGGATTGCGAGGTACTTTGTAGCTGTTAGAAACAAACATATCATTAATTCGCCTTAGTTTATCTACTTAATATGTTAAGAGGATTTATAAAAATAATTTTACCCTAAAGTTTTTCTGTAATGATATATTTCTTGATCGAGTAGCTCAAAAAGCCGAGGTGGGAAGAACTGGAAATCTTGCACAATCGGTTGTTTTGGAGGTCTTGGAGCCTGGGTAGAAAAATAACGAATGTTAATCAACAAATTTCAATAGACATAACTATCAAAAACTGCATCCAGAAATTACAGCACCCCTCTTAGGTTAGACTGATACAGACTCAACTTTAAGTACCTGGAGCTAGTACTCGATGCTCGATGGAAGTTCGATGGACAATTTCAACAACTATCGCCTAGACTGAAGGATAGCAGCCGCGCTTGACAGACCTAACATTGGGCCCCGGCTCCAGGTGCCAGAAGTTGTTTGCCGGGAATATAAAAAGTAAAGCCCTATATGGAGCACCAGTGTGGGCAGAATTCGTCAATCAGGTGTATAAAACCATCTTACGTAGACCCCAGAGGATCATCGCCAACATGGTAGTAGAGGGCTACGCACTCTGTAGAGGCGGGATGTGTGCCTCCCTGGGAATTGGAAATCCAGATCCTAAGGGAGATGCGCCGACTAGAGGAGAACTAGCCAGCATCGAAAAAATGAGTTTCACTAGACAAACCGCAAGGGAGAGACTGCTGGAGGGTGGTAAGAACCATGCTAAGTGGAGACAGATCCTGGCAAGTGGTCGCCTCCTTTTACAAGGATTATCTCTCAAAAAGAGGTTGCAGAGAGACAGGGAGGCGATTGCTCCAGCAATCTCCCTCTGTAGTATATAAAAAAGGTTAAAAGGCTGATAAAAGATGAAAGGTGGGAAATAATTATCGTCAGTCTGGGAGGAAGCGATAGGAAGCTTTTAAGAGTATAATGATGACGAAAGAACCTAGGCTGTCACCTTTCCAACAGCATGAAAGATCTAATATCCGATAATATTTATCTCTAGAAATTATCATAAACTGAAAAAACAGAGACAATTATTTTCAAATTGAATTGTTTGGGGTTGCTGTAATTACGGATATGCACTATCTACTCTACTAAAATACCATCTACAAATATAAATGGATACTAAAGTATGATTTACTAGTAACTATATCTACTTAACTTTTAAATGAAAATAATACGGCATAAATAAGATTTAATACAATATAATAAAATATTTATATTATAAAAATAGATCGCAAATAATAGTCTCTATTTCAAATTAGTATAAAGAGCTAATAATATACATAATTGATAAATATATTATGTGCTATTATAACCACCACCACGAAAAGAGTAGAAAATTGCTTTGCAGACTTACTGCTTAGCTCTTTACACTTATTTACCTGTACCTTGGGCGCCTTGGGTTCGGAGACACGAAGTGCCTCCCTGAAGTAAGCATCCACTGCATAATTAGCTTTACGTTCACGTTTAGGTGGTTCTATCCAGTTCCCTATAGGTATTATCTTCTGCTTCTCCCTGTAATCCTCTCCTAATAATGGAAACAAAATTAGTATCCACAACAAACAGACCACATCAACTATGTAGCCACGATGATAATATACAAAAATTATAAGCATTTTGATTTGTAATAGTAAAAAAATATGGATACATATTGCTCTCAGGACAGAGCAACATTTCCAGAGCATTAGAATGACTAACCCATTGAAAATTTCACTCAAATCATGCCTTTATAATAAATAAAATAAATTCTGTTCTCTATTTTTATCCGTAAATGTGTTTTTAATATTCTAATGAAAAGATTGGCAAGATTAGAACTTGTAAATGTTGAATCATGGTCATATTTTATTGAGTGTCATTTGTTCACATTGAAAAATATTTTGAACTTATATATCCTCACGAAACTATTACTTTATAAAATAGAATAATTACAGCACATATATTTTTTAACAGACTTCAAAAAAAGGAGATTTGACTTGTATTATTATGAATGTTTGTGCGCGATTATCTCGCGTTTGCTGAACCGATATTGAAGCGGTTTTCAGAAAAGTATTTTTAGTGTTATTATATAATATAAAATATATATCACTAAAAAGTATGAAATTTATTAAAGTCGGGCGGAGGTTTTCTGTAGGTTAATGCAGGTAGGTTATTAAATCATTAACCATAATCAATAGTATTTTCTTGAATAAGTCGCTTTTGACATAAGTATTATTATTCCCTTTTAAAGTTGAAGTTGGTTCTATTTTTTTGTATTATGTGATTCATCTTAAACACGTATGAAATATCAAACCTTTAAATAAACACATTGCGACATAATAGCTATAAATACAACAGCAACAAAAAAGTTATCTTATATTTTTTTCTGAAAACACCTTTGTGGTTGTACATAAATACTATCTACTTTTCTTAAGCAAAAAATGCTTGAGCGAGGTACATCATGTAATCAACCCATCAAATGTGGAAGCAAAGTCAATTCTTTTAATCTTTATCGCTGTAGCAAGTGAATTAAAAAGACAGCATGCCATAATATGTAGTAAAGGTGTTTGTGTAAGATACTTGTACCTTCAAATTGATAGACAGAATCAGTAGTTGCACCAGGAGTGTCCATAGAAAAGGCTCGTAATGATGATTCTCCTAAGCTTTCAAGTTTCTGCTTCAGTTCTTCAGTCTTTTTCGAAAAAACATATATTTTAGGAAAAACATATATTAAAAGTTTATCAGAAAATGCTACCATTTATATTTATTTAAAATTTACATAAAAAAATCATACCTTGGTTTCTCCTTTAGCCAATATAGTATCTATGTCATCATCAGTAATCTCGGAATCCTTTGATGAAAAGACATGATTAGCACCATGTCTAATCATATTGAGCATTTCATCTTTGTTTAATTGGTTTTTCGTATCAACTAGACGGCCTGATTGGATAACCAATTTATCTAAACGAAGTTTTACTTCAGCACGCTCTACAATCTTTTCTTCTACTGTGTTTTCAGTTATAAGTCGGAATACACGCACCTTTAAAACATCAGTTCTTTATTAATGAAAAAAAATCCACTTAATTCAAGATTATTGTTCACTTATCATTACTCTAAGTAAAAGACACATGCAAAATTTGTTGACTAAACAGAGTTTATAAATTTGAAATATGAGCAACTATGGACAGCTCAGGCTTTTTTTTTTCTTTTGATTCCATGTCAGTATGCAAGACTTAATGGTTCCATGATCTTATTTCTTGTAATGTTATTCAATAATCTTGAAGTAATGAAGATATTTTAAACAGATATCATGAAATATTTCAAATAAAATATACTCATACAAACAACCTCATTTCTATCAGTTATTTTCATAAACATAATTTTTTTGATTAATAAAAGAATTAATTTCATAACTTGTTATGCCTCATAACTAGAAAAATATAAAATAAAATTAGCATAGCAATTGATCTAATTTCTAAACAATCTGAAATAAAACACCAATTAAAAATTGTAACATGTTACTTGTTTCTTTTGTCCAATACGATGAGCTCTGTCCATAGCTTGTAAATCCATCTGGGGGTTCCAATCAGAGTCATAAATGATTACAACATCAGCTGAAGTTAAGTTAATACCAAGACCACCAGCTCTTGTTGATAACATAAAAATAAATTTTTCACTGCCTTCAGCATTATACTCCTCAATTTGTCTATTCCTGTCTTCATGTGGGGTTTGACCGTCAAGACGGCAATACTGAAACACATATTGTCCTTTAAAAATATAGAGACCATATCACCAATAAACTAAAAAAAGTTTTTTCTTACTTTATATTGCCTCCATAGGCAATAATCTTCTAATATGTCCAACATTCTTGTCATCTGTGAGAAAATAAGTACTCGGGACTCTTGTTCTTGGAGTTTTGGAAGTAGCTTATCCAGAATAGCCAACTTTCCACAGTTATAGACTAAATGTTCATCAGTAGTATAAGGAGGACCAGGTTCAGCACCATCAAACAGGTATGGATGATTACAACATTTACGCAACTGCATGAGAATATTTTGCAAACGCATCTTCTCCACTTTTCCAGCTCCATTCACTGAAAATAAAAACAGTTAACTAAGAATACTTGTGACATTTTTAGTCTATAAGCCTAAAATTTTACTATTTTATAACATACCTACGTCAATATCCTTCATAAGCACCTTTGTATACCAATCTCTTTGCATTTTGCTCAAACCAACATAAACTTTGAGTTCTTTTTTAGGTTTCAATTTCTTTTCCACTTCAGACTTTAAGCGTCTAAGTAGGAAAGGCCTCAGAACAGCATGCAAACGTGAGACCAATTGATTGTCTCCCAAAGCAGCATTAGTATTAAACCAAGAATCAAAGTCCTGTGAATATTATCATATCATCAATACTAGGTGAAATTGGATAAAGGACTTTTTTTTCTAAGTTTATAAAAATACTTACATCTGAACTATTAAATACATCAGGTAAAAGAAAATTAAGTAAAGCCCAAAGTTCATGGAGATTATTCTGTAATGGTGTACCAGTCAAAAGCAGCCTATTCATACTTTTGAACTCTCTAAGTAATTCAGAGAGCTTTGATTTTTCATTTTTGATTCTGTGTGCTTCATCTATAACCATGTATCTCCAATTAAACTTCTTGAAAACAGATCTCTCTCTTATTATCATTTCATAAGATGTAATGCAGACATCCCAATTCCCAGGCATAAGAGTTTCACGAATAAATGTGTTCTATAAAAAATGCATTATGATAGAAATCTTTTAAGAGTTGACCACCCAATAAAATTACTATAGTAAAAATTCTAAACTGAAAATGTTTTCATCTTTATTACATATAATTAAATTAAATAAATATAAATCTATGAAAGCCACTTTTTAAAAAGATTTACATAAATTTCAATTTACACCAACTTATTTTCATTTCATAGTGGTTTAAAACAGTCACCGTTGGATAGTATGGAAATACAAACTAAGCATCTCTTAAACATACCCTAGTTTCCTGGTCACCAATAAGACAAACAGCTTTCAAAGACGGGCACCATTTTTTAAACTCATTCATCCAGTTTGTTAAAGTAGACTTTGGCACTATTACAATATGTGGTCCAGGAACATTTCTGTAAGTAAATTATATTAAAGATATCTTAATAATAATTCATGAAACAAATATTTTGTTTATATATGCTCATACTTAAAATTCTTCATGTATCCTAAAAGTGATATAGTCTGAAGGGTTTTTCCTAGACCCATCTCATCTGCCAGTATTCCATTAATGCCATTCTCATACAGTGAAATCATCCAGTTTAGACCTCTTACTTGATAATCTCGCATTTCACCATTTTTTATATATGGTGGAGAAGACTCAAAACGGAAAATAGTTTTTATTTTTGTATTAGTCTCAGCAAGAAGCTCCTCATCTTCCTCTTGTTCAGTTTTTCGATGTCTATGACTACAACAGAAGACATAATGAACAGAAGAAAAATATTTTGATGAGAGATCCCAAAAAATTACATAGAGGACTTACTCTCCAGCTCCACCAGAGGTATCAAGATCTTTGTTCTTTTTAGGTCTTCCTGCTTTCGGCTTTGGAGGACTATTTGATTTAGATGTATTTGTCATGAAATGAGAAAAAATCTCAGTTTGCTTGAGCAGAAAGTCAAATCTTTTAGAACGATCAGTTTCAATTTTACTTTCAAAATCCCCTTCTTTGCCCCTGGATGAAGTAGTGTCACTCGATGACCCATTCTATATAACAAAAGCGATTAACTGATAATATTCAACGTCTATTTTTATTAAAAATATTTCAAATACAAAGCCTTAGATTTTACCGAATTATCACCCGCATCAGCGACATCCATAGCTTCTTCAGTTTGAGACATAGTTGCAGATTATTCGAAATTGTTTGTATAAGGCTATTTAATTTAATATGTAATATACATTACGAAAACATCTGAAAAATAACTGTAAATATTTTCACCGGGCGCGAAAATCACCTTCACACACAAAAATGGCGACGAGCGCACAAACTATATAGTGGTGGGATGAATGACCTATTCAATTTTATTGAAATAAATATGGGTATTCAATTAATTACCAATCGATTCTAAAAAGTCATATTTAAAAAAATATATCATAGATTTTTCAAATAAATAAAGAATTTTAGTTAAAACTTAGCACGGATGGTAACATTAGCAATCAACGTCCTCATCATCACTAGCCTATTGATGTCCCCTTTGCTAGAGTTCGGTTCAGGCAGTTCTATGAATGAATTCAAATCAAAATCGAATAGGAAGAGCGGTGTTGATACAACATTTCTTTTTATAATAGAGATGATGACTAATTTTTGTTTGTTTGTCCGTCAGGTAGAGTGTTAATAAAAATATTAACCACGTACTTTTTTATTTTTTTCGTATTCATAACATTACGGCGTTACATGGAGTTGAAATTTCACATGACGTCACGTTATGGTACGTTTTCTACTCAATTGTGACGTAGCGAGCCCCCACTCCGCAACTTTAATGCCCGTTATCTAAGCTATTTCTCGTTAAACTGAAGTAAAAAAAAATACGGATCTAATATTTTTCTATTATCTGACTGACGGACTAAATAGAATTGCATTTTTTTTACCCTGTCGTCATCCCTATTCGTTTTTCGTAACTTAAAATGAGGAAGTGTTTAAAAAATAAAAATTAGTTCTTGAAACCAAACTAGATGTCACTAGCAATGTTTGGATCTTGTTTATTCATTCAAATCTTGTTTCTGAGGTAATAAAAGTAAATTGAGTATCGAAAATCTATAAATATGACATCGTTTCATGTTTCTTATAATATCTAACTTTCAAATCAATTTTATTTTTTTTTGTAATCATAAGTTTAAGTTATTTATTATGCTACATATAAAGGAACGGTGTTTGGTTTGTATCACAGAATAACAATATGTTTATATGTCTATATTGGTGATGAGACAACTTATTGGTTGCTCGTAAATTCAATTGACTCGATTATCCGAATTCAAGTTTGGAATCAAGAACAAAAAGAAGAGCGCTGAATTCAGATTGATTTTTATGTACCATATTTCCATATGTGCCATTATGCACCCACACGTCGAATTATATTAATATAAAAGCTATTTGTTTTTTAAATACTTCTTCATTAGACTATGGAGTCAATTTCCATTATAATATCAGAAGTCCTACATACTCATTGACAAATCAATATACAATATTCATAATAAAACAAAATGGATAAAACTAAGTTGGCTCAGTGCAGACTCACCCTTACTGGCACCCGTTGACGAACTTGACTCATGAGTCAGCCATCACTTCAATCATCTATATTTGAAGAAACGTAACGACCCGACGCACACGATACCACCGCAGAGATTGTTAAGAGAGCCTGACTACTCTAGGTACTTAATAAGTAATATATTTCAATAAAACTGATTTCTAGAGTAGGTTAAGTAGGAAGTCAATCTATTATTGTAAAAATCAAAACAGCACATACCCATCGTACGAATTAACGTAAAACCTAGCTCGTCATGCGCCATCGACATGCAAGTTCAGTAGCGATAGTATAATAACTGTACATGTCTTTGTGGTTTTGAAATTTAAAGTTAAAACCATGCTGTTCGTGTCGAACGGACGTTCCTTGTGGATTGCTGATTTGTTTTTTTTTTTAAGATGATTTAATTATGAATATAAGATTTAATAACTGAATATAGCTTTTTTTTTATTCTTAATTTCGAAAGGAAAACTTATTTGCACGTTATACTTTGCATAAACGTCATTCTAGCTAGAAGTCATGTTAGTTTGTACAAATACCTAGTATATTTGATACATGTCGGGAAAGTATATTGATATAAAACGGATTTTTTATTATAATGAGGAAGTATTTAAAAAAAAAATTGTTCCCGAAATCAAACTAAATGTTGCAACGGTACGATCTTGATTTCTCTATGACAACCCTTCCGGTTTTCTTTCTTGTTTAAAAGTAAATTAGTTTTCAAAACTCAATAAAAAACTCGTATTCTCTTTGTACTTTTTCGTATTTGTATTGATATCTAAGTTTCGAACTTTTCAAATTTCAGTTTTTAATATGTTAGTTAAAAGGAACGGAAATGACCGTCTTTGGTCCATTCGTGTCCTGCAAAAATCAACTTTTGCTAGAGTCGCCATCTAGTGGCGGTGCTTTTTAGTGCTTTCGTTTCTTTTTTAATATGAAAACGAAAAGAAAAATTTTGTAAGCTTGTCAATTTTGTTATTGTTTCTTTATTTGTAAAAGCCACAAACGTGACATTAGCGGAATTGTGTAAACGCAAATAGGCCCATGACTTAAAGAAAAGAAGCAGAAATTGTAGTCAATTTCAAAGGGTAAAAGTGTATAAAATTTTTCTATAATATCTTATCCTATTATATTACTTATCAAAGAGTCATATAATATTTAGGGAAATTATTTATATTACTTTTCATGAACGTATTTAAATACTATGTCAATGTGCTTAAAAATATTACAAACTTTGCGCCGCTTGTCATCTACAAATTACCCTAAAATTGTACCAGATGTATTAAAAACAGGTTATTACAGAAATATACATTTCAATTCAATATTAAAAATCAAAATGTTTATGGAATATGAGAACAGATATGCCTATGATATAATGGAAAATAAAGGTTATGCGAGAGGTTTATATCCTGAAAAAGTAAAAGATACTTTACTGTCCACAGAAGAATTCAGTATGATCCTGAAAGAAAATTGGACTAGGAAGTCTCCTTCTGAAATATTCAAAGTATTTTCGCTGTTAGGAATGTACAGCTCTCAAAATGATATGTGCATTTCAAATAACATTTTTGACTCATTCGTGGACCATCTCACAGACAACATAAAATTTGCATCAGATGCAGAACTACAAGCTTTATTTTATTCTTTGTTAAAATGGCCTGAAACTGAATCTATTCGCACTAGAAATTACATTGAAGTATGGGCAGCATTAGATGATGAATGTCTGAATAGATTTAAACAGTGGTCCATTGATGAAAATTTATCCTTTTTAGCTTTATTTTACATGTTGAATGTTTCAAGAGTAAGTGATTTTTCACAAAAAGCTTTACAAAGAATAGCTTCTAAAGCAAAACAATTGTCTCCTGGTCAGCTAGTACAAACAATGTTTTACATTGGAGTAGCACGAAAACCACCATTTGATATGCATAATTTGGAAGTACATTTAGAAAAACTGTTTGCAGAATTTACTTTAGACGAATTAGCAATAATGTCAATGGGATTTTTTAAAAGCAAAACACCTATCCGCAATACTGAGTTAACAACAAAGATTATACATAAAATAATTGAGAATTCTAAAGAAACTCATGAAGTGTCATTAGCTGCATTGTTAAAAGTCATTCGTTACTCTTATAAAGCAAATAATGAAAATATTATATATAATTTGTTGGAAAAATTACAATATGAAGTTCCACGATTATCCATAATGTGTAATGTTCATTTAGCCTTGGTTGGTATGTCGACACTCACATTACATAAAGAATGTTTAGATAGGATAGCTGAATTAACTCTCAGATCTATTTCTGAAACACGTCTTAAAGATTTGGAGAGATTAATACTCACATATGGAACATTTGATTTGATACCAAACACAAAAGAAAACTTTTTTGAAAACATAATAAAGGAGCTTAGAAAACCAGAAAGGTTATCTGAAATTGAAAGATATGGTAGATCCTTTGCTTGTTGTATTGCATTTTTAGGGTGCTTAGGAATTTATCCTGTGGATTTAATGAATAAAGTTCTCAGTAAAGATTTTTTGTTAACAACATATGGTAAACATGTTATCACATATGGCAGGGAGGTGTTATCAATTCATAATTCAGCACAATTGTTTTGTTCTGACCAAAAAATTAATCTCCTCAATGATAAAAGTGCTATAATTCTTGCCAAAAAGTATACAGATTTTGTACCTAGGGAAAATTACCAAAAACAATATAATGTGAATGAAAAAGTAATGTTGGATATTATGAGAATACTAAAAGCATGTAGAGGTGGCGATGAATATGTAGTAGGAGATCACATAGTGACACATCATCAAAGAGGAGGTGAGCTACCATTTACAATCTATACATAGTATAAAATAAAGTCGCTTCGCGCTGTCTGTACGCTAAGATCTTTTAAACTACACAACTAATTTTATCTGACTGACTGTGACATAGGATAGTTTTTATCGCGAACAATAGGCTTAAAAAGCTTCTAGGAGAGAAACTGAATTTCACGCAGGCGTAAAGTTAGTATAATAATGAATCTGATTAATGAATAAAAATTACATTATGTAAGCAAGGGTGAATCCAGTTTTGTAATGCCAATGAACAAAATATTATAATTTGTATTGCCCTGATTAAATTTCGACTTTATGATCCCTCCCCCTCCCTCTATCTTTGTTTTATTTGAGACTTTGTGTCTATATGTTTGTGCATACGACGTCTAGCGCATTTGATATATCCCTTTCAGTGATATCTCCTTATTGCACTGCAGTTTATTGAAATCAAACTAAGGTATAGATATGATGTAGGTAGGTCGTTAGATTTAGTAATTTACTTCAAAAATTTTCAAAAATCCATTTTATTCCATTTATGTTCCAGATATAATCATATGTAATGACAGTAACGGATCCCCAGTAAAAGTCAGAGAACATTTTTATAATACTAAATTTGGTTTATTGCGAAGACCACCAGATTCAAACAGTTGGGTTGCTCTTGTTATTGCTGGAAAAAATGGTGTTATCAATAATACAGATATCCCAACTGGGCCCTTCAAAAGCAAACTTAGAGAAATTGAAGCACTAGGGTTTTATGGAAATTTGGTAAGAATATATATTCAATGGTACTTCATCAATGGTAATGTGGTGGAAGTTCTGGGCCCTTATTCACTATGACCACTTATCGATGCCTTGCTTCCAAACCAAGTCAATATCGTATTAAGATAAGACATTTGCAATAGCTGCGTTGTCTATGCACATGAATGAAATTCAATGGAAAACGCACTACTGCGCGTTATGAACTGTCAACAATTCCACACTCGGAACAACTGTGTCTACCTAGTCTACACTCTACTCCAAGTTGTAAAACGACGATAATTGGTTCGCCCGTACCCGGGTAAAAAACAACGTTGTCCATTGGTAGATATAGCTTGATTTCTTACTCGTGACATGGTTAGGTCAAGATGTGATTTTCGCATGGTAATATCAAATTTGAAAAATCGACTCTCGGTCGTAAGGAATAAGGGTCCTAGGGTTCCATTTCTTTTATATAGATAACTTTAATATTATTTTGTCATCATATGACATGAAATGTTAAGTATTTAAATATATTTTTCAGATAATATCATCCAAATATAATACGTTGACATCTGATGAATCAAAAGCTGATTACTTAAATAACCTAATAAAAGAAGCTACAGGACATACTAAGAATAATTAAAAGAATATAACAATAAGCGATATATCAGTTTTTCATTTTAATCCCAGAAAAAAATATTATTCTTGTTTAATGCATGTTAAGATTATAAAAACAAATTATGTGATGGTTTAAATCGGCAATTTTTCTACCCTGTCGCGCCCCGCGCGAGTCGTTATATGTAGCATGAACACACGCCTGCACGTCAGGTTAAAATAATATATCTCTAATAATATATCTAAATGAATTTCGACCTCTACTATCAATTTATTAAGGTTTAAAAACGAGTGGCGAAATTCGACAATTTTGTATAGTCTGACGTGCACTGTACTTATTAAAATTCTTTTACAATCTTCCTCTCAAATTAGAAGGAAAAGAAACGCATTTCTTTTCATCTGTACTAATATTATAAAAGAGTAAGAGGAGTAGTATAAAAGAGTTTTCTAAATTCGGGATCACATTAAACTTTTAACTTGTTTTACGAGCCTTACATCTAAGAAAATAATAATAATAACAGTACAGAGTCCAAGTTGTAAATTTACACGAGCTTTTAACTGTACAACTGAATAAATAAAACTTGTAAAAAAGTTATTACATTTATTAGAAACAAAAATAATTGGAGCGATTGAATGTTCACCACTCCCATTCTCGCGCTTTAACCGTGTTCATTCTAGTTTCGACTTGCAGGAATGACCAATTGAGCAAGTAAAGGCAGACTTAGGACTTTGATTGCTTAATAATAAGCAACTATTTTTAGAGAGGAGGTGGCAACTGCCTATTGGACGCCCTTGGTTCATTACATAGTTCTTTGTCATTAAGCACTGTAAATGGTAATGAAGGGTAAAGTTAATGAAATCATAGATATGTATTGTTTATTAAATTATATTTATTAATAATATTTGACTTAGGCAATTCATACATTCTTTCAACGCCATACATTTTTATCTTCTAACGTGAATCACGGATAAGGCGCTATCCATTTATTATGTATCTAACACGGTATAATTGAGTTATTAAGATCCAGTTTCTTTCAACAAAATAAACAAACTTGTATTCGTTTTTATTTATTTATTCCTTATGTAACAATTATGAAACAGGAGAAGCCGGGAAAATAACTAGAGGGCAATGCTCGCGGACAATTCTGCAGACATACAGTCATTTCGGAGACCTATAGACCCGCAGACATGCCTGTATTGTGAACTCTCCACTAAAAGATGGTCAGACGATCCCTATATTTTTCTTTTACGTAATAAATGGATAAATACATTAAAACATTTTGTGATAGTTAAAACCTCAGGGTTAAAACACACTTATTATGTATCGTATAAATATTTTTTGATAATAATATTTCGATTTGACAAAAACCCATGCAACTTTATGTAGGTAAAATGACGAGACACTCTAAAAGAATACTTTAATTAAATTACATTTAACCTTTTAACTTTGGTAGAAAACTTAAATTCTAACCAAGTCTCTGTTACCCTATAGCTCATTTTGACAATTTTAATTGTTGCATTATAATTATCTATTAATACCTAACGTTTATTTATATATGCAGGTCCTCTTGTTTATCGACCATCGGATACCTATCGACCTGCATCAGCCTGTAAATAAAAGTCAACGGTTAATAATCATAATTCAAAATATTTTTTCCGCTTCCACCATCTACATACTAAGATTATATTGATAAGTATTACTGATTTGAATACCGTCACCAAAACGATTGATTTATCAAAAATATTTGACCAATGACATTTAAAAGTTTAGTTTTCAACATGTGATTTGTGAATTATCATAAAAACTATTACATGCACATTCGTGTTCTTAGTGGTTGTAAATGCCAATTGATTTATAAATAAAATTATGATATAATTCATACTCTTTAAATCATTATCAAACTGTTAGATGACGTGAGTCTTGAGTTTTGTAACTTTAGGTATAGTGACTGAAGGTGGCAGCGGGAGAATATTGTTGCCATATCTGGCGTGAAAATTTTTATCAATAGAAGCATCACTATCATCGTTCGTGGCCCTATAATATCTATCAGATATGCCATTATCCTGAAAACATTTTAGGTATATGACATCGATATAAAGGTGTCTATATTGATAATTAGGTATTGTAATTGCTTAGTTATTAACAATACTAACCAAAGCCTCAGTCTTCTTGCGCAAATTGGATCTAGACAGGGTGAGTGCCAGTTCAGACTGCAGCCTATTAGTGATAGGCACATCGTCGGTTTCATTATTTCCATCGGACTTGTCGCCACTGAGAAAGTCCAGCTTGATCGGCTCCCGCCTGTTGCCTCCACCGGCGTATTCGCCGATAGTTACGGACACAGGACGCGCAATTTTCTTCATAGTGGCTGTCCCATTTGGAGCTCTCATGAAATAAGTAGACGGTGGCTTTGGTAATACGGTAGTGGGATTCTTCAACTTATAAGACTCGAGTGACTCCAGTTCAGCTTTTTCATCTTTACCTTTAAAATTGGACTGCACATTATCGGTTTTGTTATTATAGTCCGGTGTAGGTGTTCTTGTTAATGTACCGTTGCGAACGTTTAATGATTTTATTACGTCTGAATTAAAGGGTTTCGTAATAGATTTATGATTTGATTTGGAGTCTCCGTTCTGCTGCCCATTCGTATTAGGCATCTGTAATTTCAAAATAAGTAATTTAGTAGGTAAATAATATTACTACGAATTAATAATGAGTTTATTGATAATCATACATACCGGCGGTGGCGGCGGTGGATTGTCGGTGGCTTCTCGCTTGAGTGGCGCATGGTTGTTGGTTGCGGCATCCGTCGTGTCGTACTCCGCCTTTCTTAATGGTAAAGTCTGCTGCCGGTCCTAAACAGAAGAAAAATACTTGTTAGTTATGTTTTAAATCATACCCAAAATTCCTTTAACAATTAACGAGATCTCCAATAATTATTTCAAACCTACACCAATGGGTGTAGGTTACAACAACAATACTTAAGCTCTGTTACAAGATTATTAGTTTTCGATTGAAATGTCGGTATTACGCCAGAAACGTTGTTTTTTATGACAGTTTTTAATTAACTGAGAAATTACTCTGATTTTTTTTATTAGTATCCGCTACCGTTTTAAGGTGCACAACAATTCATATAATTACCTACTATACTATGCTTCCACATAGACACCTGCCCTACGACTCTGTAAAAATCCAAACCCGAATTAGAATTTACTCAAATTCTATTGATTCCATTTTATGTATAACAAAACTTATTTATTATATGTGTATCAGATATTCTATTCCTGTGTCATTTCGAAACTCACTTCACTTATGCCACGATACATTATTACCAATTCAAGATTGAGTGGATGCCGCTTTTTGAAGTGAATTCGAATTCGGGTTTGGAATTGGATGTATACAGAATCACATGGCTGTTTAGGTGATTATTTTACGCGTATTCCATTTTTTGTTTCCAAGGTCATTTAATATAATCTGGAGAGCGACCGTCTAATTCATGGACCTGCTATATCTCCACGAACCAAAATACTTGGTATCGAAAGAACAAGTATCGAGTAAGTACTTGTATTAACTCGTATCGTTTTATCTACCATCACCACATTTCTCTAACCCTAAAGCTACACTAGGTGAAATTATTTGATATGGATTAAGGAAATAAAAGTAACTACGTATAACATAAAATATACTATATATAATAGTCTCCGGTTATGCCTCGGTCAATAGAGAAAAATACGACGTAAAAATAAGTTTTAATTAATTATTATTCGTAAACTATCATAATATTACGAGTGCAGACCTCCGTAACAGAGTGGTTCGCACGCCGGTTTCAAGGTGTCGCCATCTCTAAGGTCTCGGGGTCTATTCCCGGTCCAACTAATGTAAAATGATGACATTTATCTATTGTCCCGGGCTTGAGTGTTGTGGTACCTTCGTTGTATGAGATACTTCATAATACGGGGGATTTATCTACTCATCTTGGAATCTGGGCAATGTCTGTGATCATGTCTAATATTTATTTATAAATTTTATTTTTATTATTTGTAACGTACTGCAAAAGTTCACCTGCTACAAAGCGGCTCGCATAGGTATTTATAAATTTCGCTATAAGAAGCATACTATTAGGTCTAACAATAAATGGGAAAATAGTGAATTTTAGGTGTTAAATTTTATAAATCCCCGTTTTGGTCAGTCTGTAGTTTCTTCTTTTGAATTTTCTACTTATTTGCAGGTTAATTATGTATATATTTATATAAAAACTAGTCTTGAACTAAGTCAATTTATAATCAATTACAACTTATTCGGACGTTACTCATATATTGTACTCGTTCATCGTACTCATGTCTTTGTATAAAATTAATTGATTATAATTTATTAAATAAGTATTTCTAGTAGCGTTTAAAATCGGCTATGGAAATGTTGTATAGATAACTGGAAGAGTTAAATAATATTTTTATTTCATCTATACTAATACTATAAAGAGGTAAAGTTTCTAACTTTGTTTGTTTGTAGGTGAGGTAATCTTCGAAAATACTGATCCCATATTAAAACTTCTTTCATCTACGTACAGCTATTATAGGCAGGCAACATCCATTTAAAATTATACATGTGGAAGTTTCTGTGTTTGGATGTTTGTCCGTCAATCACGCCGAAACTACTAAACGGATTTTGATGAAGTTTGGTATACACATAAGGTATTAGCTGACTTTGATGAAAGGATACTTTTTATCCCACTAAATAGTTCCCTAGGGATCACGCAGGCGAAGCCGCTGACGGAAAGTTAGTAGGCTATAATTTACGAGGGCGAAGTCTTTCCCCCGACAAGCTAGACATTTTTTAAATTATTATATCGACTATTAAGACTATTCTGTTATGTATGTTTATATTTATAGACAAACAACATTAAACCATGATTATTACGAACAGTTTACGGTTCTACATTTAATTAACTACTATATATATATATGTGTGTGTGTGTGTGCATGTGCTTATTGAGAAATCTATTTTTATTTTGCCTTCCGGATCAACTTAAAAGCCAAAGTAAAACATAAAATGTTTTACATGTAACTCTTTAAAAAGCAAAAGAAGACTTGGTCACATTATATAATATACTGTAAAATTTCGGTTACATCATGAGTCACCACACCACTGCAAAATGATTTCAAATTAGTTTTGTCAAACGCGGATTGGACAGTCTGAACTATTGTTACTGGTTATTATAGTATAGAGTAGACCGGAACAATAATAACAACTTAGAAATAATACTTGTAGCTCTTAATTTGCATGTTATCAAAGAAAAATCGCATATGGGTGCGTAAAATTTGTATTTGCTTCGTGTGTAGCATACTCCAGTTTACACCCAACGTATTTAGGTTGGAGTATATTTTGTAGCACCTTGTAGCAAATCCGTGTTATAATTAACCTTATGGATATGCATAATAATATAACACGACTAGATAGGTATTTAGAATCTCATAAAGTATTTTTTAATGTAACATAAAACTAGATTCAGTAACACAAAGGGTATACTTATAAGAAATTGATTGACAATTTTAAACAGAAATAATTTTGAATGACTGAAATATTTCATCCTATTTTTTGTTCGCGTCGTTTAGTTATTTCTGGACAATAATTTCAAAAACGTTTAATTGTGTCTAACCAAGTACCTACTGTTTCCTAATTTTATCTTTTACAAAGGAATTTTTCATCCCTTATTTCAATTTCTTGCATCCCTTTTTCGCTATTAAGGGTACTTTAACCAATATTCTTTCCCAAGGTCAATTCTATTTCTGTACCAAAATTCATTGAAATAAGTTCAGTGGTTTAGCCCTGAAAGCAGACAGACAGATGAACAAAGAGACAGACAGAGTTACGTTCACATCTATAATAGTAGTAGAGATTTAGTAAGGAAAAAACTATGCCATATCAAAAAAAAAACCGGCCAAGTGTATGTTACGTAGGGTTCCTTCCATACCCACTTTATTAAATTATTTTACACAATTTTTTTTATAGAAGTTTGTACAAAATTTTCCTTTTTCGTTTTACAAGCAGATTTTACAAATTAAGTAAGGTCAAATATTATTTTTAATAGTTTTCCTTTTAACTTCATTGTATGTGCATATGGAATATTGCGGCCATGAATTATTTACATATCGAGAAACCGTTTACCTTAAGTATTAAAATGCTTATTTTTATTACATTAATATTTACAACTTATTGTTGTTCCGTATCAAACGAAGAAATATTATTTACTCTATGGTTTCTTCGATGTCGAAGTCTAACTTATGCCAATTCTCTCTAACATATTATAGCCAAAACTACAGACATTGATAATTGTTTTTATTATTAATTTAATAAGTAATGTTTTGCTTATGAATTAATGAATTTCATTACTTCTGAATAAAGCTGGTAAGTTTCTTTCGCTTGTTCTTCTTGTCAGCTAAAAGACGTCCTGAACGAGTGGACTTGGACGTTTTAAAATTACTTATAATAAACTTATTTGAATAAGAATTCTTCATTTTTATTTTCTTTACTCTTGATATCAAATTTGAAAAAAAGGAAATTCTCATACTTTCTGTATTTGAAAGAGAGAAACATGGTTTACGCGTACTCCTACCCGTCCCCACGTATCCTATTTTTTTAATTATAATTTTACAACAATCAATTTATAGGGATATCCATACTGAATTAGTTTCTGGATTACTTAACCCCCGGACAGACAGATGGAAATGGCGAAACTCTACGGAATCCATGTTTACTGCAGAACTCAAAAAACTAAATATCATCTAATCTTGATGTGTGTACCTTCTCCTTGTAGATGTAAGCATTCGTCGATTGGTTAAGGAAAACCAAAGATTGTTGTAAACTTAAGCTAGTGTAGGTAGTATATATTGGTTGATGATTCACATAACGATCGATAGATATGATCTTAAGTGCAATAGCTCATGTGTTTTAATATATTTTCCAATACCTACATTTTTTATATCATTACAAGTATGTTATCGTACAATTGCAAACACGCAACATGTACCTAATAGATAATTTTCACCTAAAACAACTTTGCTTTAAACCTATTTATGCCTTTTTGTTATTTCGATATAGGAAGAAGAAAGAATATCATTTTCAATATTCTACGATTTGTTAAAAGTCATGTAAGTATATAGGTCCGACTTGTGTTGTTTCGCTCCAATAATAATATAAGTCCAAATAAAACTAGAAAGTCAACTCACTTCGTAGCATTGAATGATCACTAATGGCTTAGATTTATTATTCTTCATCACGTGTTTGTACAAAGGTCACGATCAGGTGTTAAGGCTAACAATGTTCTTGAATAGTTATGATAGGTCAGACTCACTATAATGTCTTAATTATCATAAAATAAACAAACATTTGAACGCTTGAAAGTAGACTCACAATCACACACTGTACAAAAATATCGTAAGCATTTCAATGGTGCCTGAAAAACAAATGAAGGTCGCGCGATAATTTATCCGAAGCGCGGAAAGTTGTGATTATGCTCGGTTTTAGCACGCACACTGAGGTGTGTACAATACACGGTGGTATGTGCACAACGCGAGCGAGGTGGTTGCCGACTGATCGGAGGCGCCCCCGCCGCTGCTGCCGGCCGGCACAATCTGCGGCCCTCCGCACCCGCGCTGCCGTTATCAGTGCAAGGCAGCCGTGTAAAAATCACAGTGCGCCTCCAACCGTATACCACAGTGAACTGTAATGAAATTTCTATCTCGGCTAACCACGTCCGTGACGTTTACCGTTCGATTGTTCGATTATTGTATGCATTACCGACCTCGTCAACTGCCCCGATAACAAATTTTATCTCGTATAAGTCATTTTGATAAGAAATATAACAATAAAATTGAAGCAATATTTATGATTTATCATAACGTGATTGATCGGAAATCTATACTAAATGGTTGAGGTTATTATAAAATCGTAAAACAATAGGTTTTTTAAATCAAAGTCACTATTAGTTATGCACCTGAATTAATAAAAACTTATCGTTACAATTCAGAAAGTATCAAGGCCGCAAATATTTTTTGTTTTTTAGTTGATCTACCACGCCAATACATAGATCGCTTTATACAGCTAGTGTTTTATGCATATAGAAAAGAATTACCACAATTTTATTTCCTCATGATATTCATATGTACCTATTCCTCAGTTATGTTAAATATTACCAATGTTATGTTAAAGTAACTTGAGATTCAAATAACTGCCTACTTTATTCACAAGAACTTTAAACGTTTCTATGGAACTATTAGAGCAAATTACACCATCCACTTTACTGAGTGTGTAGGCCTAAGAAATGAAATGGAATGGTTAGCCGAGATAGAAATTTCATATATGTTTATATATTTAATTGTGATAATGTGATAATTTTATATATATAATTGTGAAAAACTAGAGATCTTCTTATTGTATGTGATCAATTTTACATTCACAATGCTATACCGAAAAATATTCTTAATGAAAAACGCTTAAAAATCCATTTTGTCCCTGATACTCTGAGATGGGACTCAAAAAATGGGACTAAATCCATTTTGTCCTTGTTACTCTGAGATGGGACTCAAAAAATGGGACTGAGAGGTCATGGGTTCGAGGGAATGAAAAATTTATTAAATATAGTAAATGTTCGTGTTTGATATTGTTCGAATATTTCTAAAAACAAGTAGGTATTGAAATTTCTTTCCTGTTCCAATAATGAATGTAGTTTTGTATTAAAATAATTTTGTTTCGGGGTTTTCTATAATATTAATCAGTTTTTCCAACTTACAATCTAATAATTTGATATTGTGAGACCAGAAATCTAAGACTTAACAGAAATTAATTACTTATAGGTAACTAATTTCTGAGAAGTTATAGACTTCTGCTTGAGTTAAAATAATATAACCATACTGTATGGTTGATTTAGTGAGTACCTCTAATAAATATATAGGTAATTTAACTTGACTTCTTGATATAACTTCTTAAAGTTAAAACCTATGTGTCCGTGAAGTAGTAAGGTATGACTATCTTACGGGGTTTTGTCCATTTAATTCGGTTTTATAATAACTTTTAAGAAAACTGTAGTTAATTCGAAAAATATTTAATTTAGGTCAAAAATGTTACACATTACATTAGACATGCGTTTGACTCCAGATGTTTAAATGTAGGTTAGATATCGTGCTAAAATTCAATATTTATTAATCTATTTAGGTTGTATTTTCTTCGTTTACTTACCATTACTTTTCATCTATCAAATACGTCTTATGTAATCACGTAGTAACTATTCGTGCCAAACGATATTATAACGGTCATAACCGTTAAGTAGGTATGAATTTCATAAGAATTCCACCTAATTGTTATTTACGAAATATGATGTAATAGAGGAAATGGTGCATGCACTATGTGAATTGGAAAGGGTTTACGTTTAAAACATATTTTACTTTAATGTGTTGTTTGAAACGGTATTATAACTCAATCAGCTCTTGAGAATATTTAAAGAAAAATAAAAGTAAATTTACGCTAAAATTATTATACAGATATTATAATATTAATGATTATAATATTATACAGACAGATAATATGCAAATCTACTACCTTCTAGGAGAAAATATTACTCTTGTAGAACCTCGTACTAAGTTAACCTTTGCTAAGTTCCTGTTTTATAATATTAATTTCGACTAAGTGCAATCTCAGCGCAAATTTACTCCAACGCTAAACTTTGTTTATTATTATTAATAACACTGTATAAGTATTATGAACAAAATATGTCCAAAGACAAAAGAGTACCTACTTGCGTAAATGTCCTGATATAAAAACAATCGATTTTGTTTTTATATCAGGACTATTTTACATGTTCACATTTTGATTATGACAACATCTTAGAAATATGATCTGGTTTTCTCATTTTAGATTATAGCTAATCGGACATTTCTTTCGTTTACGTGTCCTCTTAAAGCTAGGCGTAAAGACAAAACACTGTTCCAATCAATGTAATTGTGCACGGCAATTAATTATACGCAAACCATTTCTATTATTGTAAAAGTGTAACATATTGCCCTCGGCTGCCAAACGACTCACATATTTATCAATTTTCTCTATAGAAAAAATAGTATAATTATGAGTTTTAATTAGGTAAAAATAAAAATATAGTAAAAATAGGAGAATTATGAGAAACTGAAAAGGTGCAGAATTACAGGGGTTTGTGATATTTCTGTCGAGAAAATTTTATAAACGCCTTAGAAATGTGACGTATTTTCTCATTGTTAGTTACAGCTTATTTGGATGTTGTTTCTGGATACTAAACCATTTGAACGATATTGATATTTAGTGTACGTGCCCACTTATGAACAACGGGTTACGGGATTATAAAAATTGTTTTGTATATTTGATTTTAAAAATAAAGTAATTCTTATCAAATTATAAGAATAACAGACTAATTGACATATTAACGGGCCTAAATTGCTTCTATTGCATAGAAAACGAGTACTACGAAACTTTATTTGGAAAATTCCATGACAAATAGTGAAAACTGCTGCATAATACGATACGAATAAAACGATCTTGTACCTACGCAATATTTCAATCAAAATGATATAAGAACCGTAGTACCCGCATTGATGCTGTTTCTGAATTATTAATACGTATAATGCCTAATAATAAAAACACAACCTTCCTACTTTGACATTTTTAACAAAATAACGGTTGGATAGATAATAGTAATTATTTTGACTGCAACTAATCGATTATAATGTTTGGATCTTTTTATCACTTTTCACACAATCGACCAAACTTAATTTAACAACAAGCACAAATTAAGTGTAACTTCAGATTGTGATTATTTACCGTAGATACATTTCATATTATTCATAAAATAAAGCAATATTTGAAGTCATATTTTGTGACAAACTTGACAAGTCCCCGAGTGCGTTCTTTAAAAACTTCTGACGAGTACTCAAGGTATGTTATTTGACGTCATGTTATGTAATCGTGATTGTTTAGGTGTGTGTTTTCTTCGGAAATCAAAAACATCATTGTTTTACGCATATAACCCGCATGCGAAACGCTAACGAGCAAAGGGCAAACGGGTTATAGTGTTATGCCAAGTAAATAAATCAGTTGTATTTCAGTTGTTTTTTTTTTCAGAATCAATTCAAATCACTATAGATAGTTCATATTATAAAATAAGATTATATATAGATTAGCTAAACATTTTTTAATTCATGCATTGAACATTTAAATATATCCAATCCATAAGTTACGGAAATTGTCAATTTTTAGTGGACTTATGATTCGTCTATAGACAAAGAGACATAATTATCGCTTTACTATCGCGTCACGGTCGTCAAGGTCGCAGTACTACTTAGCAACAATTGTTGTACAAAACTCACTAATTTATCTATGGTCTGCAACTATTAAGCAAATAATCGCCATTAGCGTCTACTTGAAACAGATAACAAATTATTGCAACAAACTATTGGAAAAGGATTGGATATTTTACACCCCGACTTTTAAGAAGTGACTAATTAAAACACAGAAGAATATACTTTCTTATGTTATAGCTTATCAAATATGATATCTATCTAAAAAAAACTTCTTATTTTTTCACTATATAATTGACGGAAGTGATGACTAATATAATAGTTTTACTAATAATATAATCATCCAAAACAAAATTAAAATTGACTTTAGTTACCCATCACGCAAAAAATCGCAATGTAAAACATCTCGTAATGTCATCATATTAATAGAAAAAAAATACCAAAAATTTGACCAAGAATGCTAGTGACAGACCTTGAATTGTATTGCAATTGTACTTGGCGGTTACTAATCTAAAAGCATTGAGACATTCAATATGAAATAGAGTGAGAGATACGGTAACTGCAACTTTTTTATTTTAACTGGTACAGTGGTTATTCTATGACAACTCATGCAAAGAATGGCTAATAGTCAACTAAACAAAAAACAATAAAAAAGAATTACTTATATTCCATGAGCTGATTATTATGCCACCTTATTGTTTTTTGAAGCTTTGTAATAATGCTATCGCAAAATAAATATTACTAACAAAAAATATTTACAGCCTGAGTGCAAATATCAAAATAAAGTATGCGTAATTGTTCACTTGCTAGTTGCTACTGCTCACATTTGTTGCGTGGGTAATATTTTTTATCATTAAACATCTATAACACAAACATTTTAATTTATTTGAATAAAAAAAATAAGCAACCTTCGCAAAGCCCGCTCATAGGATGGACGCATTTGCCGCCAGCAAGCTCATAAAATATTGAAGCCCCTACCACAGTAAAGATTTCATTAACTTCATTACCCTATTACCCCTATCAACCTCTACAATTCGATTCCCTAATTCACAATTATTTTAAGTACCCTAGCGACGTACTACGTACGTACGACGTACGACAATTTCACGTTGATTCTCGCAACAAACACAATAAATACGCATGCAAATAGAGTATATGCATCGGGTGTAACTTCATGAAAAGAAGAAATTTAAATCTAAAATCCAAAGATTTTTAATTCGGACGCTAACATAATTTATTTATTACTTAAAAAATAATATGATGAGGATACAACGGGACACATTCTCGTTGTCACGTCGTTGTCAATACAGTGCGACGCTTTATTATGTCTTACTAGACTTTGATGTCGCATTCTTGTCAATTAGTTAACTTTGTTTAATCATGATTTCAAACGTTTAAGCAAAATTATTGAAATACTTTATTATAATTTGTTTCACTGAACATTAAATTGACGCTTTAAAAACACTTATTTCGTATTGGTAATCAAATAGGTACATTATAAATATTATTATTTTATTTCTGTAAGAATAATTTAATAAGAAACAAGAAACCTCCAAAAATATGCCGCATCCCGTAGACTCAAGTTTTTTTAAGCCTGCCGCCTAATGAATCGGCTACTACGCGTAATCAATTATAGGATGAATAAAATAAAAAAACGACAGCAAAATTATCGTAATAAAGAGAAACGAGATCACCACAAATTTTTATCTTCAATAAAATCAGAACAAAAAAATGTATACACCAACAACTTTTATTTGAGGTCGGTGCCAGTAGTCTTTGTGGTAAAAAGTAAAATAGCACTATCAGAAAATTTATTTCTTATTATGATATTTTTCTTATAAATATCCGGCACCGACCTCAATATAAATTGTTGGTAAGATTCTTGTTTTTTTAAATTTGTTTCTTTTTTTAATAATATCAGTTATCACATAATATAAGTTTTAAGTTATCCAAATAACTTACTTCTAACTTTGACACCTTCATCATACATACTTATATAAAAATACTTATATAATATTTACCGCATAAACATTTTCTGTGATGGTTGCAGTTCTAACCTAACCTAACCTACTGTTCTGTAACAGTTCGTTTCTTAAGTCATTTAGTGAGTTTTCTCTTATGTTGTCTCTAAGTTGAATTTACGAGAAATACGTTAAATATATGTATAGACACACACACATAATATTATACACTTACAAAATGTACCACACGTGTTTAGAAGCGCGTATAGACTATCTTAACTGTAATAAGTTCTATCAAATATATATGAATATTGTGCCATATTCGAACTAAATTACATACATACAGATCCAATTGATTTAATTTTATTAAAGGTTGGTTAAAAACGTACAAGTCAAATTAAGAACCTCTATTTTTGAACTACTTTATTGACGTACATACACAGGTAAACTGACGGCCTCCTTTTTTGAAGTTGATTAAAAAGAAGGTCATCAATTTTAACTCCTTTTATAAGTCGGTAAATTTTTTACTCCTTTCAAAGTAGCTTAAATTTCAAAAGCTTATATCTTTAAAACTACTGAACCGATTTTAATATTAGTGTACCCTAACTTGAAAGCTAAGCAATTAAACAAAAAAGAATCTGTTGCAATTTTGCATTGCAATCCGTTAGTTTGCGAGGTATTCGTAGACAAACATAGAGACATACATACTCACATACATACATCTATAAAATTTTGCCCGCTTGTTTAGAAGATTATATGAATATTACGCCATTCCAACGAAATTACATACATACCTACACCTCGAACCTCCTTTGTTTGAAGTCAGTTAAAAAATAGTTCTCGAACTTAAACGAGATGTCGCCACGTACTTTCAAAAAGTAGTATTCAATTTAAATGTCTCAGATTGGCAGTCCGATTTTCTTTGTGGGATGCAATCGCCTATCTCTCTAGCCATAAGATACGATATATAAGCGGATATTATGACGACCTTTTGTTACATATTACTACTTTGACATGTCTTTTGGTGTATAAATGACTTAGTTGGAAACACTGCTGTCTAATCCATATCCATCATTCTTTACCATTCGCTTTTTGTTATTAAACTACTTACATGTCAAAGTAGTAAAATGAAACAAAATAGAATTATAATTCTATTAGCATTGCTTAGATGTTACATCCTACGGCTAGAACTACAGGAGTGAGGCGGTGTCTGGATGTAATAAAATTGAATTAAGTTTGCACAAAATAATAATAAGTCTATTTGCTCATTATAAATTAAACTAAGATTTTTTTATTTAAGCAACAATTACTTACCAAAGTATTCATATCGGTCTCGAGTCCATCGCGTACTGGCTCTTCTTTCTCCATGCCCGAAAACATTTTCCTGTGAACTTTTTTAAACTCGTCCATAAGTGCGTCGTGCTGCTTTCTTTTATCGTTGTCCACTGGCTTTGGTACTGGTTTTTTTGGTGGCGTCGGTGCAATTTTGGTCTCTGGTTTTGATGATTGCTTGTTCTACCAAAACAAATATTAATACCATATAATATATGTATTTTTTTTGCTCTTTTACTAATAGTAACTATAAAAGACATCAACGCGTTAAGAATTTTATAAACTAAGTTTCAAGGACCTATTCTTATCAATAAAATGTCGTTTGTATTTTGATCATTGTAATTATGTAATAAAAATAAAATAAAAAGATTAAATTCCAAGGAATGTGTTCTTTGTTCTTTTTTGATTTTTTTTTCATTAATTCACTATTGGAGTGAATTTCAAATTTCAAATTGAATTTCATCTCTATTTTTATATAAACATCAACATTATTAAAATATCCTTAGTTATAAAATAGTCTTTTTAAATACGATCACTGGATACAATATTTTCAATAAAAATAACCGCAGATTCTTTCATTGAATATTGCTAAGGCAGGTGTCAGTGCAGTAACTGTAAAAACATAATTACTAACCAGTTTCCTCCTCTGTATCTCTTCGGCAATGGCACTAGATAATGTGGTTGAACTCGATATACTCGTGGAATCAGTCAAATCTTTCATCGGCGGCGGTGGATAGTTACAGTTCGTATTTGCACACGACAAACCGCTAGTATGATGCACTTCTACTACGATAGTTTTCTTTTCGTTTTCCCTAATATTTTTTCTCGGTGATTGATTATCGTAACTACATTGTATAGTGGCACCGTCTTCTGTTAGATTTATAATTGTTCTATTAGAGGGGCTAGTGATGAAGTCCTTCTTCGTTTTATTCCGTATATTATGTTTATTCTCGAATGTATGTGGATTATTGGGTATGCTAGGACAGTCGTAGTCGGGCTCGATGTCAGAGGGGGCGTCGAAATTATGTATGTCGTCGTTCTTCCAATCGAATTCTAAACTGTCCCATGTTCTTCTTTTCAACCTATTCATTGTTAACCTGTAACAACGTCTTTTGTTAATGAAGGTTATAAATAGACTTCAAAACTTATTTTTCTATCTTTTTAGTTGCACTAACGAGTGAGAAATTGTATAGGTATATCTTTATCACGTCACTCAGCGTTTGAGCAATCTTTGTTATTTGTGCGTTTATAGCTGTCATAATGAAAATTGTTGTTTTATGTAACTCATTTAATGCCATATGTATTTTAGCAAATTTTGGTAATACATTTTCCCTACTTTTTTTAAGTAATAAATAAGTGTGATAAAATTCATTGGTTAAATATTTAAAATTTTTGAGTAAGATGGTTAGGACGCTGGAGAATAACTGATACAGCCGTGAAAAACATTTGTTTGTTTTTTAATCGTTACATTATTATACCTTCAAACTACAGAACCGATTTTGAAGATTGTGCTGTTTCCTAAGTTGAAAGCTAATTTATTAAACAAAAAAAAAAATTAGGATCCTATGTCTAGTTTGACTAATTTGAGAGATAAGTGGACAAACATACAGACAATCCTACAAAATTAAGCACACGTGTTCAAAAGTCCGAGTTTAGAATTTATTAAACACTAGCGTAACTTCATGTACGTAAATTATAGTTTATGTCATCCGCTTATGATATAGTTTCCCGTAGGTGAAAGAAATTTTAAAATCGGTCCAGTAGTTTTTCGGACAATGTCAAATAGCAACAAACAAATCTAAATAATATTAGTATGATATAATATATGAATTGCATGCTATTTCAAGAAAATTACATACATACACGTCAAACTTTCGCCCCTTTTTTGAAGTCAAGTTAAAAATTACCAATGTATCTTTATTTTTGCAAAGGTTGTAAGTAACGCGTAATATTATCTATACTAAGGAAGGTTTGCATTGAATAGGAATATACTGAGTCAGTGTTGAAAATTCTTTCTCCTATAGGAGTCTATTGCACAGGGTAGCTGCATCATATGCTGGATATAATATAGATTATAATTTTCGCGAGTTTAATCACGGGAAAACCGCAATAATAAAAAGAAAAAACTTTCAAATCAGGTTTCATTGAACTGAGTAATCGAATAAAAAAATAAATCGTAAATAGATAGAAATCTGGCGTCGTAACTAGGAAATATACTGTACATATAGTGGTAAATATAGTTTTCTTTTTTGATATGTATATTTTTTTTTAATAAATCGCTAAAACGTAAATGCTTTCATGGTCACACAAACCCACACAATAAAAATGAATAAATGGAAACGCTATGTCCGCGCAAACAATTAATCTATTTAATTACTGAATTGAACTGAATATAGAAAATTAGGCCCACTGTAATTATATTCTGCCGAATTCAATTATTAATGAACCAAAAGGGACAAAATATAAATTAAATGTTGTATTTATCATATATACAGATTCACATTATAAATTTTTTGTTTGTAATGGAATAATTAAATGTTATTAATCGAATTTTATTAATAGATAAAGAAAGTAGAAAAGTAACGGTTATTCGCGGCTTTTAACTTACGCAGGACATTTACAATACCTTTTTCATACTTAAATACTTAAACAACATCACACATCCTAAGTTAAGTGGGTAAAGACCGGGGAAAGTAATAGTATTTCTATAAAGTTTATTTTCTACGTTGACCCAATTTAGAGCTGAACCCGGAATCTCAGAGGCAGTGAAGAGAAACCGGCGTGCAAGCACTCCGGCTCTCTGCTCTGTAGATAGTCAAATATGAGAGTTTATTTAAGGTACAAAGTTTCTAGAATTCATACTCGTAGAAACGACGTGGGAATTGGTAATTAACTCTATACTTGGCAAGTATTTTTTTATAAAAAATATTTTTTTGCTCTTGGCATGTGCTTTTGGAAAGGTGATGCCTTTAGAATAGAAGAGGATTTAGTAACTAAAACGAATTAATAATCCAACTGCTGACTGACTGGACTGACTGGAATATTTATTATGTACTTACATTTATGCGCAAATACAGAAACAAGAAGCCTTATAGTTGAGCAAATTGCATGTTGTAATTATTAGTTTATTCAACAAAACTTTCGATCAACTTATTGTTGCCTCTTTTTACGATATCTATCTACATTGTATCATACCATGGCCGTAATAGGCACATGCCAGATAAATTCACTCCCATACATGTGTAGCATGACGTACTCGATAACATTTTGTCTACAGCCACATGTGACATTTCTCGGGTGCGTCCATACAACATCTCAGTCTCGGCCTGAGAAAGTGACATTTGTGTGTAGACAAAGCGTTTCTCGGGTGTGTCATGCTACGCGTGTTGGATTTACCTATCAGCTCGATCGGCGGCTTCTTCCGCTACACTGGCCAGCCTCCTACGTAGGGCTGCAGGCGGGGCAAGCGGCGCGGGCGGGGGAGGCGCGGGGCTCCTCTCTCCCGCCGCAGATGATGCGGAGCTGTTGTAGCCAGAACTCTCAGGAGACACCAGCTCCGTACCCGCACCTTCGCGAACCACCAACTCGAGCCGACCGACCGCCTTCATGGCCGATATCGCCTGCAATACGTCGAAACAAATTAATAAAAATAAAGTCTTAAATATTTTAGCCACCATTTGCTATTTTTTTTCCCCAAAATAGAGGTCCATCATATACCTTTTGTGCATCAATAACTTTAACTGACATAAATAAAGTCATACATTTTATTAAACAAAAGCCTCCTAAAGCGACACGTGTCCGTGACACTTGCATAGAAAGTTGTAATTTAGAGTCATTAACTAACATTAATGGCTTATACAATCGATTGGAAATTGAGTTTCTTTAAAATGTTTTTAAAGGTAAAGTACCTTTGAGTTTACATAAAACTCGAATTTATTTTACCCTCAATACTGTTTTATTGAGGGGTTAGTGCATTCAGTCTGCGATGCGGAAGTTATGCAAATTTCGCAGGGGCCGGTGATAAAATGGGTGCCAAGAACGTTAGGTCGTTGGTAACGACTGCAGTTCGATTTCATCCATAAGCAAAGTCTGTTTCCCTGCACTGGGGACATAATATTTATTATATACTCATAGATATGTTATATTTTTGTATAGTATATTTTAATAATTATTGCTATTATTAGTTTAATAGGTAACTAAAATGTTAGTAACTAAAACTATGCAAGAACAGAGAAGTTATACCCTTTACCTCGTTGAATGTGACATTGGCAAAATCCTGGCCATTGCAGGATATGATCTGATCGCCCGGTCTCAGGCCCGCCTCTTGCGCGATGCCTCCTTCCCGTACAAACTGTACGAAGATGCCAGGTTTCCATTCGGGCCCTTTACAGATTCTGTAACATATATAATCATTCAAAAAAGAAAATACTAGACAATTTCATATTTGCTCTTTTATATGTGTAGAGTAATGTACTCTGCATTAGTACCAAAGATTGTTTCTACATAATATGTTGAGGAATTACAATAGAATACACTCATCAGCACATCAGGTTACTGTAAAAGACATCCGTGGCCGAGTTGCCAAGGTGTCGCTATTTCTAAGGTCACGGATTCAATTTCGGGTCAGTATAGAAAATTTCTATATTGTCTTAGGTCTGGGTATTGTGTTACTTTTATAGTTTCAGAATTTTATAATATAAGTACTTTAGCCACTTCATTTGGAACCTGATCCAATCTGTATGACATTTGCTTAATTTAAAGGCCCAATTTCTGTGATCAATTTCAATCTGTACATGAATAATATTTCTTTTGGAAGTTAGTCCTTACTGTTTTAATGTGTTATCGACTGACAAAGTATCTGAGCTCTGTATGATTTATTAATATATGATTGATTAACAAGATATAGATCATCAAATGATAATAACCCTGTTGAAAATTTTCGAAGTCTAATTTTGTTAACAATAAAAATCTAAAAATGAACTTACCCGCAGCCCAGTTTGGCTCTCGGTGGCACGAGTATTGATAGGCGCATATCAGCCATCCGCTCTGTGTCATGGCACAGAGTCGGCGAGGAGGACACATCGGACCCTAACGATGCTCTTTCTGACACATATTGCCAAGACAAACTCTCGTGGGATTTGCTATAACAAACAAACACTGACCTTCGAAAAAAGTAAACAGTATATTCGTAGAATAACCTAAAATAGGAAAATTTATTTAGTAACTAGCTAGTCTAGCTCTCGATTCTCAGAAAAATGTTCAAAATAAGGTTCAAAACCTTTAAGTTATTTTTTAAAGAAGTTTAAATAATTAGGTTTTCAAGCTAAGCTTTTTTTATATTTTTTATTTTACTCAAGTTGTCCGTAGGTGGTCTCACTACTATACCTACTATATAGACGTCTTTGCTTATTTTCAGGGCATAAATTAATTATCTATAAGTATTATAGTATAAGCTCAAATTGTATTAAGGATATTATTGTAAAGTTGTTTAACAACAGATGACACAGTGCAGCTTACATACACCACTAAATATAAATAAAGACACTTAATAATATTCTCTCTCGCTACATGTCCTTCTACGAGTACTTTACACATTCCTTGAGCCGGAAGTATGGAAATTTGGGTAAAACGGAGCACTTCAAACTTACTTCATCTTTATGAAATTAGATCTGTGATCGGAATTAGCGATGTAATGTTTGCGTCAATTCACAACTCGCACGCGATTAATTAGATTCAAAATATTTCAAAAAGTCACTGTTTTCTTGAATAATTGCAATGAGCCACAGTAATATATTTATTTATCAATTCGTTTTATTATATCTATTTGTTAAAGAAGAAAGGTTTGATTGTTTTTTTGCATTGAATAGGGTCTAAAACCACCGAACCGATTTGAAAAATTCTTTCACTTACGGAAAGCTACATCATACGCGGAGGACTTAGATTGGATAGGCGGACACAGCTAGTAATAATAATAATAGATATAAATACGTAGTAACGTGTCCATAGTCACATTTGTATACTAATTACAAATTCTTCCTTCATACTCGCAGTTATGATCATGGTCCGGCGTGGCCTTTTACTTTTAATATTTTTTATTCTCTATTATACTACTTGATAAAAATAATTAATAACGTGGTAGACGTAAATTAAAAATTTGATGACTTACTCCTTCACAGGCAACATTCCAACATCTGAAAAAAGAAACAAATCTAATTTACCTCTTTGCGCCATAAATTACTACATAGGTATGTCGTTTAATGTGCAAAGTTCTAAACGCTTCGTCTAGTGTCGCTTAGTTATTGTAACAGAAAAAAAGAGAACTCGTTATTACAATAGAAGCCAGGTAGTGTGACTTTCAATTTCGTTTGTAGTATTTTACGCAACGATAGTGTCGGAGACCGCCCATGATTCAGGTTGCCCACGCGCTTTCTCGATTATCGCACTTAAAAATCGGTGCCGACAATCGCACAGGTTTTTAATATGGCGTAACCCAAAGAAATAAGATTAATTAATATATGATATTAAAAGCTACACTATTTTAATGCGGCACCTACGTAATTGAAATGATGAGAGTTGGGAGCTCTTATAAGAGATATTGGATAAAAAATATTGTTATTTAAATGAAAAATGTAAGAATTTTTTAAAAATATCATAGGAAAATGAAGAGTAAATGTAGAAAAAATACCTAAATTATTCAAAGGCCTCAGGTGCTGAGACAGTTATCGAACTCGTAACCTGGTAGAGCAGACGCTCAGTTATCGATAGAGTAGGTCTACCGATTCAATTGTTGCCCTAGACTAAGGTCTGTCGCAACTGTCGATTTCTGCATGCACTATAACCGCAATGAGCGGTTTTTCATTAATGTTAAGGTAATCTCGACCTCCGTACTCGCATGCCGGTTTCAAGTTGTTGCCATCTTTGAGGTCCCGAGTTCGATTCCCAGACGGTTCAATGTAGAAAAAATAACTTTTCTATATTGTCTCGGTTCTGGGTGTTGTGCTTCCTTCGTTGTCTCAGATACTCCATAATACGGGGACTTTAACTATTCATCTTGGAATCTGAGCAATGTATCTAATGTTGTATAACATTTATTATTATTATTATGATATACCTGCACTTTTTTATTAATTTTCAAGTATTTTTCTTGTTTTTTGAAAATTGATAAAATACCTATATTAGGTACATATAGGTTATACATATTTTTTTTTTGAATTCTGCGTTTTACTTAATAATAAATAAGCTATAAGTGTGTTTTTTATGGATTTTATCAAGTTTCTCAGTAATTAATAAAATTAAGTTATGGTCATTAATGTTTCAAAACCATTACAAATTTAATCGATTGATCTTTTGTTGAATTTGTATTTATTAAGTTTATTCTAAGTTTCGCAAGAAAATATCACTGAAGCTTGGTGTATTTACTCTATAAATCTCAGTGTTACTCAACAAATTCGCAATCTATATCTGTTTATGTAACAAACAACACAATCTATTATTCTTGCGACGGATCTTGTAAAACAACTGTAACTGGATTACACATAAGTAAGTACAGTTAAAATTGCCTCAAACCAGAATATAAAATATTTATTAAATAAAGCTTAAAAACTTTGTTTTATTGTACAAAAAACTTATTTATGTGCACAGAAAGTGCAATAAGTTTTCAAGTATAACATTGTAAATGCAAAATCCATCAAATAAAATTATTAAACCAGATTTGTTTCATTAATACAAGCGTCTAGCGCATATAGTAAGCTCCCACTAGGTATGAATTTTCTTTGATATCTTTCCATAATCATCATACTTCAGCCAATCTATTTATATAGATTATATAGTGTTTGTGTATATTTCATTAAGGGTTTATACCCTTAATGAAATATACACAAACACTTTCCTTGTAAATCGATAGTTCCTAACCGGTGGTCTTTGGAAGCATCCCTAGTTGTCCGCGAAGCTCATAAAATATTACTATAAAACAAATTTTACATTTTTTTGTTTTACATTTCCAACATATTGTTAGGAAACTTAATAAAATATAGTATATATCTGAATACTTACGTCTGACTTTGATTTTGAGTCGGGTCTGTGAAGCTAGATAGTGCACCAGTTCAGAATGTACTGCGTCATCTACGCGATAACCGTTCACTGTCACCAGTTGATCGCCAACCTGAAAAGAAAACATTGTCTTTATTGTTTAGCGTATCATGATAAAAAAGCTGTCATAAAATCAAATTAAAATCCTAATTATAATTATCTCGTTCAAAATCTTTGTATATTTTTTTCTATGTGTATTATACCTACGTAATTTAAAATAATTTGTGTGTGTTTTTAAATAGTATTGTTTAATTGATCATGATCTTAAAAAATGAGAAATCAAAACTGGGCAACTGCTCTACCCTTTGTGACAAGTGATTTCCTTTCCAGTAGCCGATATACATATCTATAATTAAATTATAAAGAGAAGATATTTGATTGATTGTTTGTTTGTTTGCATTGAATATGATCCATAACTGGACCGATTTTTTAAATTATTTCATCTGCGGGTAGCTACTCAAACGCAATTCTTTGGCAAACATAAAAATTCTTTTACATCAGTCACACGCGCGTGACATAGGCTATAACTTCCACGGGAAAATTCGCAGGACAAATACTGAATAGAATATACTAAGAACAGAATTCGTTATAGAGTGTCGAAGCAAAGAAAACCATATTTAGATTTTGATTTAGACCAGTAAACTTATTCATAAGGAAAACGTCAGCAAATTGATAAAGTATCTATAAAGTTATGTAGGTACATTATGTGTGGACAGCGCATAAGCAGATGCAAAGATGGTGATTTCTTTAATTAAAAACAACAGATGCGTTCCTGTAGTCAGTACCAATTCGAAAACAGGGTACGAGCGTGATGCTTAAGTGTCTTAAATAAATTAACTAATCTGAGTCACATTTACCTGATTTCTTTTATTGGTTTATATTAATAATTATATAAATATCGTTATATGCATTCGATTTAGATTTTTGTATTGTAGACGTATCTATATTGTCGTTATTTTGTTTTCTGTGTCACCGCATTCTTGATCTCTCTATTTCATAACTCTCCGGTTGATTGGTAGAGATACCTATTGGCATTAAGTCCGTTAATTGTACAATTTATTTTTGCAATGAACTTTAAATAAATAAGTAAAAAAAATAATGTCCAACACGACGATGACAGCAAAGGAAAACTGTTTCATTTATATTTATGCTACAAAATCATAAAAATTATTTTGGACATACTAAATTCAACATCTAACGATAAAAGCGTTTTCAAGACAAGTAACCTTAACCCATAAGTTACGTAGCAATATCCGCTTGTTGTAGAAAAGTTCATTTAAACTGACAAGACTGCTGTTATTGTTTTGATATAACATCTCTTTACTCAACGCTACCATGGTAGAACATTTTTTCGACGAACGAGTGATTGTGACGTAACGAGGCCAACCAAAGAATGCCCAAAGATGCATGGGAGTTATTATACTACTCTATTATAGGAATTGAGTAGTTTATCATTAAGGTTATCGACAAATACCTACGGGCTGACTATTGCTTCATAAACACAATTATATAGTTAAATCGTACAGATTTAATCTAGTTTTGGGAACAACATTCTTCCCATTCTATTACCATTTAGTCATTATATTGAATAGTTGTAGAGTTAGATCCATGTACTGTCGTACAATTAATATAAGACTGCGATAGACAACCAATCGGCTTCATTCCACTACAAGGCATAATACAAGATCTGTTTTAAGCCGATACCTACATATAAGTGTATAGTTAAACTTAATCCTTTACTGGGCAATAGTGTATGTGTGATGTATTTGAGGCTGTGCACAATGATTCCGCTGCGGCTTTATGTTTAAGTTAGACGATTATATTTCACAGTATTGAATATATAAATAATTGATTTGCAAAAGTATTCTGTACTTCGTATAAACAGATAAATAAATGACCTGTTCATAAAATTTTTTCAACTTATTTAGTCGTGACATGCTTCAACAATGTAACCGGTGCTGGCGTGATATTATATATGAATGATGTGACGTCACGCTTTACGCTGACGCTGACGACAGGTCGCCGCAAGCGCGTCTCGCCCAACAGCGAACGGCGCGACGCGGGTGTTCACTCAGTGTGAGGTGACGAGACAACACTTTCTTCACGTTCGTCTTGGACACGGGCGCAGCTAGCCGGACAGGCCGACTCGTGCCCCACATATTGGACAACTTTCGATCGAACTTTCGTTACGAGTCGTCTTTTTATAAATGAGGCACGCAAACGCCAGACTCGTTGCCGCCCATTTCTTCGAAATAAGTTACTTTCTTCACCAAACCACATAATTATTGTTTTATGAAATGCCGCCTTAGTGACAGACAGAATGTTGTACAGAGAGCTCAAAATAATTGAAATCACTATATTGTATTTTTAATATACAATTAAAAGTAAAACACCCAGTGCGATATCGGAAATGATAGCATAGACTTACATAATAACTAATTCAACAAACGTCTATCACAGAGAACATGAAAATTAATAAATTTTTGTTGTAAAACAACGTATTTTTTGAACACCTTTACGTGGCATGTATAAGAACATAACGTTCATACGTTCACATCTGTATACGCATATTTGTATTGATATTTGCACGTAATCCATGCTATGAATGACTCATGCTACGATAACCGTACGTCGATTATTCATGTTTGTATAACAGCAGACTAACTAAACTGCGCAACACCTGAATTGAGTTTTCTGAAAGAGAAGGTTGTTGTATTATTTGCTTGTGTTTTCGAATGAAAGAAAGCAAACGGGTAGATAATATTAATACATGGGTAGATAACATGAAAGTATAAATAACTTGATAACTAGAAAGGCTATTAATACTTTTTTATTTTTTATTTTATAGATATACATGAAATATATCTAAAAATATTTATAATAAATATCATTAATATAATAAGTTTAAAACAAATTTAATTTTCAAAGTTTTCCCGAAAACGCCACTTCTGTCATGGCGTCGCAGTGACTACACGGCACTCCGATAAGAATATCGTTCTATGTATGCATAAGGTTGAATTCTCTAAGTTCTGATACGAGTAAGAAAGGCGAGACAACGAGAATAAGCAATATAAAACGCATAAAAGTGTGATTATCTGTAATAGTATATTAAAAACTACCAGAAAAAAATATGTTTATTTTCGTATACTGTCTACACCCGTATTAAATAAGAAATATTTATACTTTTTTTATTTATTTAATAAAAAAGAAACACTTTTATTAGCTTGTGCACAAAAAGCCATAAGTATTTATAACTAAGATTAGCTCTTTGGTTATTTTTAGGGTTTCTTACACAAATGTTAATATAAAGGAAATTATATAAGCGGAGACTATAACAACAAACAAATACTAAAAAAAAGATACATATTGCATGTGAGCGAGTCCGAATCGCACTTGGCACGTTTTATTTTAAATTCTGATCCAAATATGTTTTATAAATAATCACCTTAATATTTTATGAAATCAATGATTTTGAATCTACTCTTCATTTATTTTAAGTACCAAGACGAAGTTCTAGGTTAATTTATAAACGAAAATAAACCCTCAACTTTTTTAAACCTGTTAAAAAAAAGTAAAAAAATATAAGATATTTAATAACCAAAATTCCTAAAGAACATTTCTATAGGTATTTTTACTGTTCATCATCATCAACATCACTAGCCTGTTAATGTTCCCATTCATGGGACTCAGACCTTCCTATGGATGGAATCGAATCAAAGCTAATAGAGACAATGCGCCATAACTCACCACTCGAACCCAGTGCGGATTGGTAGTTGTTAAAGACTGCAGATGCAGCCGGGACCAATGGCTTAACGTGTCTTCTGAAGCACGGAGGAGTTCGAAAGAATAAATTTTGGTCACCGATCCTATGGCCGGCCTTGCGAAAGTTGCTTAATAACCATATCTCAGACCGAGCACGCTAACCACTGCGCCATCGTGTTCCTTTTACTGTTACTGAATTGAAACATAGTTTTGGAATTTTTTTCTTATACGTTTTGTTTATAAGTTTTGTTTATAAAGGTCACATTTAAATCCAGTGTGCGACAAACACAACCAAGGAATAGTAAACTTTAAACGGCTACTTACTGATAGCGCATTAACTCTTGAAAATCTCATGTAGTTTAAAGCGGTAACATTTCAAATTCAGTAGGTATTCTTAAAATCTTGGCCATATGAGATGATGATAGTTTAATCCAATTGTATAATATTATCCATTAGTTATGATTATTAGGTACTAATCTTGTCTTTACTTTTCAAATGAAATCAATTTCAAATATCTCTCGAAGCCAGATGATTTTATATACAAAAGGAAAAAACATATGATTACGGAATGCACTAATTAACTAAATAAATAACTGGAAATCTAAAAATATGTAGACGTTAAAAAGCTTCGACTGATATTATAATACGTCCCTTGAATTTATTATTCGCTACAAAAAAGTATATCTGAAAACTTTATTTAACAAAAAGTTTTAAATGATATTACCAAATATTTAAAATATTATAAAATCATAGTCAATGCGAGTTCGTAGAAAGTTAAAAATTACTAAACGACCTCACTGGAAACGGGAATTCCTCTACATAGCAAGGAGGGTTATTTCTAAATAATCATGTAATTGCACCGTTTTACGCCACTTCCTGTAGCTTAGCTACATAGTAAATTAGCAGTTGGAATGTATACTTTAAGATCTTTTCACCGCAGGACACATTAATCCCAAGAATTATATTTTCCTGACTTTGGCACTTCAATAAAGAAAACTTATTAGACGATTTATAAGCCAGGTATATTTCTTACGTTTCTTACGTTATGATAATCTTTAATGAAGTACAACACCTGTCGAAATTGCTGAATCACAATGAAATCTACTTTTAGTAAGTGGCACAACTTTATAAAGTGAACGTATTTTGTATTTGCGATTCTAAAGTTAAAAGAAGAAGACGTTTGTCTGTGGCCAAAGTCGTTGACTCCAGATACAGTTTCAAACTATAAACATAAAAGCAAATCAACTTCCCAGGATTATATATCTGCGATAGTCACAAAATATTCTATTGTGATATTTGAACAACGGCGGATGTACTTGTGACTTTTTCGTAACTTCTTTGTTAGGGAAGTGAACGTGTGAATTAATAAGAAACCTGGCAAAATAACACATGCATTCTCATTTTAACTGTCTAATTACATTATTCTCAAAGCTGTTATTGTAATACGGTCAAAATTCTAACTATCCCATTCACTCTCAAACATCTTGAAACGGAATATTTTTACTCGTAGAAAGTTGCTTTTCACTGGCTTAAGTAAAACAATGTTTATAAGGTTTCGTTTCTAAATATTTATTTATTAAATAGCTGTAGTAGAGATTGAGCTATTTGAAAAGTCTATTTGTAAATAACTATATAAACTATTTTAATTGCTGCTACACTTATTGTTGAATGTAACAGCAATACCTCGACTACGACGCAATAAGAACAAAATGTTGACCTAGTTGCTTCAGTGGACCCCGTCATCATCAATGGAGCTTCAAATAGAGTAATTCCAAAGGAAACAATAATAGTAGAATTAGTTATATAATTGATCCAAAAGAAGGCCAACGCATCTTGCGACAGTTTAGCCTCAGATAAGTAATTACTCCATAAGAGCAATCGCAAGTAGCCCAGTAAGATAATTGTTCATAGATGAAGCATTCGCACGCGCTCTGTTGGATAAGTAGACAGGAACTGTGGGAAACTGTGCAATGGTTACGACGATAAAAACTGTCAACAACAAAGATTCAATCTTCCCTTATGGTCATGTATGAAACAAACGCAGAAACTAAACAATACAATAATGTCTTATTGCTCAATAGCCGTGTAAAAAGAGCAACAGCTAAAGTACAATGTACCATTTTAAGTTATACAACAAACGTTAAAGGCTGCCTCTGGCAGGTGCCATGTTTGTGTACTTGTAGGTATGTAGTGTGTGAACGCAATTAATGGTTTGCCTTTAGTATAATAATATATCTTCTTTCGTTATTCAGATTATTCGGAAATATGTAATGCTTTGGTACATTAAATAAATTTAAATTATGATAATTGTTACGTTCAACTAATAAACGATTTTTGAATCTTCAAACTACAAACTAAACAAATGGTTTTTAAAAAAATTTACAGTTATAATATTACTAGTTTGTAATATATTTGCTACAAATTGTTTTTTTAGAGATATTTTAAAAAAATATGACTGGTTTTATATCATGTCTGAATACTCTAATCAACCTTATTTCTACGAAGAAAACGTCAGATAAAGCGCATCAAAAATACCTTTAAACCCTGCAGATGAGCTTCCGAGTTGAAGTCAACCCTCGATACGAAGAAGCCGGTAGCGTACTCTTTCCCACCTCGTAGCGAGAAACCAAAGGCTGGTGTAACCCTGCGCGGGCGCAGTAACCGCACTATACGCACGCGCCTGTCTACGGGCCCACCGCCCGCCACGCGTCCTGAACCAGACGTCGTTGACGCCGTTGATGTTGAATACATCGCTGAACTGAAAAAAAAATATAAAAGAAATTCAGGAATATAGGAAATGGGTAAACACACAAAAGAGTAAAATAGTGAGCAAAATGTCCTAATTTTGATAAATAAATACCTACGGTTATTTATACATCTTAATAATACAAAAAAAATACTTTTGGCATTGACTTGTGATAGGTATTAAGTTTTGTACTGAAATCGGAAATTTATTTCTTTTTCAAATCATGATCATTCGACTTATATTCATAATCAATATTACTAATGCTTCATTATTAAATATTATCTCGTCACTTGAGCTCTCAATTTTCACGCATTTTAGCACCAATTTTCATCAATATTTTTGACCATTTGGATTTTTTCGGAATAACAGTTTCGATTTCATAAAATTTCATGTATTTGGATTAGTAATCCCGTGAAAACTTAGAAAAATATGTGAACAAAACTAAGTAGGTACACTAGTTTTCCCACTAATTTTTCGTTGATTAATACTGATTTGGAAGTATCTCTGCAACTTTTGAAGTAGAAAATGTTTTTGCTACCTTTATCTTAGACACACCTCCAGTACCACGAAAATTAGGGACAGCAGACTTTATCTTCAAAATCTTATCAAGTTAAAATAAAAAATTCAAATCTCGTTTTGTTGCGATATTATATTTTTTTTTGAGTTCCTGTAGTGTATGAAGATTGCACTAGTTTTTTCTGAGAATCTCTTAACTACAAAAATTAAAAATTATTTTGTATTTGTTTCTTCTACTTCTTCTTTTTTGATTAATGGCTTATCTGCGCATTTCGCAAAATTCTGCCAATGTCAAGTGAATACATTAATTTCTCATATAAATGAAAATGAAATGAATGAAAACTAGGCGATCAAATCTGACAACCAAAGAGTAATAAGCACTTGTGTTATAATCAGAAACAACGAAAAATAACAAAAGAGTAAAGTATACAACGAAAAAGTCGGAAAAGTGACAGTTATAACACTGTGAGTTACAGTTTGTAGTAATTTTAAATATAGAACAGCAAACGAAGCGTTTTTTTAATATGTTTACATTATGCTATTGCCAAGCAATATCACTATATGGCAGCACTGTGTCTCAAAATGGTGTAGTCTGAACAATTTTTGCACAGATGGCAGCTATGAGTGCCTCAAAAACAAATGCAGAAAAGAGTTTAATATTATAAAACACTTATTTATGAAACTTAGCATAAATAATTTGTCATACTGTAATTTATTTTAAAGACAATATAAATTTTTCTTATTCTTAATACAAAATGCTTAAAAAATCCATTAATAAATCCAAGAATAATTTTTAGTATGGCATTGTAAATGCAAAATTAATCAAAAATATAATGTATATTTTTCTGCCTAAAATATTTGAGAAATTTTGATAATAATTGAATTTAATGATTTCATTTACGGTTAGGTACGAGCTGAATATTCAACCCGCGGTATAGGCGTACAATTGATTAATATAATCTACAGATTCCGACTGCTTTAATTATAGCTATCCGCTCTCCTTTAATATAAAATATTTAATAAGCAATTATGTATAGATACTGCAATGATTTTTTAACTCTATAGTAGTAGTTTATAGTATTTTTATAAGATTTTTTATAATATTAAAATAGATCGTACAACATCACACACCCTTTGGTAATAATAATAATAAGGGAAACGGTTTGTTGTAATATCGAAACGAGATTTTTTCTAAGATTAATCGTGTATGTCGTACGTGTGTCTGTCCGTCTATTGGTCATGCTTTCGAAACTATTCATCCGAATTTGATTCGAAACTATGGAACCTATGGAGTCGTACGCATATATAAATCGGTGACGTTAAATATTTTGGACAAACTTTCAGAGAGATAATTTTAAAAGTTTTGCAACGTGACATTAAAAAATCAACAAGGTTTTCGGGAGAACCTCATTTTTTTATAAAATCTAGATATAGACTAGTTATTTAGACAATAAGCGATTCCACCCTTGTTTTCGTAAAAATTTACTGTGAAACTGCTACAGAGACTGGGGCGATATATAAAATTTTTTGATCACTAAATCCACATATTCATCCATATCGCTGAAGATAGGGCAAGATGGCGAAACAATAGTTTACTAGAAAGTCAGTCAGTGTGGTCACCACCTAACGAACTTTAAAGATGAACGACGTAAGGAAGAGGTCCACATTAAAAAGTAACACTTATTATGGCTACAATGACTAATATACATTATGAAAACTATTCTTTTTATACACAAAAGCAAAGCACCACAAAATATCTCTAATCAAGATGCAAATATCTTAAAAACACCGAAACCGTATAACAAACCCCAGCTGCCCATCCTCTTGCTATTATTGTTACAATGAAGCTATGTTGCGTTTCCTTGACATTATCACCGGCATACCTTCGTATAGATAAATGCCAAAACTCTAGTTTTGTTTGAATGGAACTTTGATTCAAAGAGATTATCCATATCTATATAATTCTTGCGTTACTGAGTGACTGACTGACAGACAACGAACAGCCGAAACTACTGAGCGTAGAAAGTTGAAATTTAGAATGAAGATTCCTTAGGGAGAGGAGCACTAAGAGAAGATTTTTGAAAATTCCACCCGAAGGGGCTTAATTAAGGGATGAAAGCTTGTATGAAACTTCGTTACTACAAATGCTAAGAGTTTCAAATTTTGCTTGCAGGTTCTTTTTAGGACGAAGGTGCTCACTAAGATTTTACTAAATTCGACCCCTAAGGGGGTAAATTAGGGGACGACCGTTTTATGGAATTTTCTCATTCCTGGACTTAAAAACGACCACGTGTGCGAAGTCGCGGGCAAAAGCTAGTCTTTATATATTATATGAAATTAAATTGCTGTTCGTTCGTCTCGCTAAAACTCGAAAACGGCTAGGCCGATTCAGCAACATTATTGGTTTTTAAATATTTTTCGTAGTCCAGGGAAGGTTTAATTTAAACGGTGTAGATGATACGAAGTACACCGGGTCATCTAGTAGTGTAAAAAACTACAAAAAATATTTAATATGAACTAATATTTATGTTTGAAATATATAGTTGACATAATTCTATATTGATATTTATCTTTAAAAAATCTTAATTACTTAATGCAATCTTCTTTGGTGCTCGAGATAAAAGCATAATATATGAAATATAATATTTAAAACTCATTTAATTATTATATTTAATCAATTTCGCATTTACAATACTATAGTGCGTTTTTCATTAAGAACAATTTTTTATTTTAACTAAAATAAAAAATTATTGTTGTAAATTGTAATAATCACTGTATGGTGTATTGTATTGTTGTAAATTGTAATAAATTGTAATAAAATTGTAATAATCAAATGTTATAAAAAGGAAAGATTTGATTATTTGTATTAAGTAGGCTCCAAAACTGAATCGATTTTAAAATTCTTTCACCTACGGGAAACTACACCATACTCGGGTGATATGCGCCATAATTTACGTGAGCGAAGTCGCGAGAAAACAGCTAATCATCAACAAATTTAAATTAATTTGACCTGAAAAGAGAATGATATGTATTGATAAAATATACAATAACATGATGCAAGATTGAGTACAATATATCCGACTAATGTTTATACAATTTAAGTTTCATAATTAATAGCTTCATAACTAATATCTATTATTACTATTAGAGGTTAATCCATAGTTGTGTTATAATAATTAATCTTCATCTATTTACTTTACACAAACCTTTAATGCTTATGTAATAGTCACACTCACACTCACACCACAAATACCTAGTAACTGTCAATCAAGTAGGGTATGTCAGTTTAACTTTTACCGATTCAGTTAAAAGAAAGAATTGTAATTAGGATGAATATCTAGGTTTTTATTTTTAAGTCTGGGCGTAAAGACAAAAGTGAAAACCAGACGTAATTAACGCGCCCGTCGAATATGCATTATTTACTCGCAAGCTTTTAATCAATTGGCCTATTTTATTATTCCATGGCTTCTATAAATTTACGATTGATACGAATAATTACCTGTGTGGGTCTCAAGTTTGATTGCAGGTCTAAATTCAACGCACACCATCAACGATATGCAATTGATATATTCCATCTACCTCCATGTCATTCGTTTCCCAGATTTTAACAGATGATCAGGCTGTCGCTTACTTACTTACAGGTTAACATAAATTTGTTTCAGAGTACAAGCATCAGACGTGACACTCTATTATCGTTTACTTTCTCTTCCAGGCCAAATTAGTATAGCAAAGTATGTATTGAAAAAAAGCTGATTTTAAACTAGTTCTATGAAACTCGCTTTCATGAAAGGATATTGATTTTTGCATTTTATCATGTATACTATCAGTTCGTTATCATTATCAGGCGAGCGTAGGCGAACAAAAATGTATCATCACAAACACCATCTCGCAAATTACGCAATATTATAAATGAAAATTAATCATAAAAAACGAAACACTGTCAAAGTCGGTTCGCATTAATCAATGTGCCTTTCTATTTGTTACATAAAATACTTATAGAAAATTTTGCATGTCCTAGTTTGATAGTGGAAGGTGCAAAGACGAGCGGGTGAAGGCGGGGTGAAGAGGCGAGGGATGGAGGTTCCCGAGGTGCAACGACCTCGCAGCGCCCGCGCAACCTCCTGCCTGCCTGTCTGACGAGACTGTTCGCACATTGACTTATTTAAGTATATGTCGCAGAGACATTATAAACTCAGCGATTTCATCGAATCCCTAAGAGATTAAAATAAATCACAGAATATTGTGAATTTTGATTAGACAAGGAAATAATCAAAGGCGGTAAAATAACAACTAAATTTTAACATTTCCCTAAATAAATCTAGTAATTGAAATGATAAAATTACCAATTGGATATTTTGATTGTTTTATATAATTTAAGTTTTTTTTTCACTTACAGGGGTACCTAAGCCGTAATAGGTAATCTCTTTAAACAATATTCTCATAAAAATACAAAACAGCCAGACCACAAAAGTTCATTAAAATTGTCATTAATTTAA